GCAACGTGGATGAACCTGAACATTATGTAAGTGAAAGAAGCCACATACTGTATGATTCCACTTACATGGAATGTCTAGAACATGCAAACCCATAGACAGAACGTGCATTAGCTCAATGACAAAAGTCTTCAACCTCCAAAGAGCCAAACTGCCTCTGCTTGGCCCTCACCCACTCCCTTCCTGCTTCCTGCCCTGGTGCATCGAGCCTTGGACCCCACTCCTAACATCTGACTGCCTTGACAAAGGTCAGGCCCTTTCCTAACTGTAGATCCTATGTTTCCTTTCATGGCCCTGTCATTCTTGCTTCCCTCTGCTGTACTGTCTCCATCATCTACTGACCACTCCTTAAAAAGCTCACTTCCTCTTAGTTCCTTCACTTCCTCTTAGTTCCTTACACTTCCCTTACTTCAAAAACTTCTCGTTCTCTCATTTCTACCGTCAACTCACCCGCAGTGACTAAACCTCTATTGCAGTTTTGACCTTCTCCTGACTATCTGCCTCATTTTTCCTACTGGATGATACTCCCCTGCCTCAATTTTGGCCCATTTAAGATAAATTTTCACTGTTTCCCCAAACTAACCCTTCCAGCTGCCTTGGGAACACTCTCCCTAAGCCTCAGGCTCAAAGTCTTAGTGGAGCCTTACAATTCCACCTATGCTCTGCCTTCAGGGCCAGCTTCTCATGAGACTATTACCTCATACCTGGGTGGTTGCAGCTTCGTTCTTACTGGTGTCCCTGGCACTAACTGGCTCTCCTGCCTATCAGTACAGATAAATTTCCTTAAGACTCATGATTACTAGGGCATCCTTCCACTTGAAAATGTTCAAAATCTGCGGTGGTGGCGCACACCTATAATCCCAGCACTCAGGAGGCTGAGGCAGGAGGATCGTTGCAAGTTGGAGACCAGTCTGGGTTACATAGTGAGCTTAAGGCCAGCCTGAACTGCACAGTGAAACCTTGTCTCAAAAAGACAAAAAAAAAAAAGTTCAGCAATTCCCTCCCCACATTCCACAAAACACCTGCATCTGGAGCACAATTTAGCTCCAGCTCACCTAGCAGACCTCATCTTCTACTGTTTTCTCAAAGTACCACATTCCAAAAAATCTCTAGTGGTCATTCATTTATTTACTTATTCATTCATCCATCCACCCATCCATCAAGGTACCAGAAGTTGAACCCAGAACCACAGCCCTTTTAATCTGTTTAAATCTGAGATACGTTTTGAGACTTTGGATCCTCCTGTCTTGGCCTCCCAGGGTACTGGGATTACAGGCTTGTGCCACTATCCCCGTTAGCCATCTTTTACTTCTAAGGTACCCTGATCCTTTCTTTCCATGTTTGTCATGCTGCTCCTGCCACCCATCCTTTTGGCTCCAGCAAAAGGTTACTTCCTTTAAAAAAAAAATGAGCCAATATTTAAAAATCTGGAAATTTCACACAAAAAAAGATTTAGCATTTGTTGAAAGACACAACACTTCTTCAAAGAGGGATTCCTATAATACTTAGAGTGAGCCACTCTATTATATGGCTCAATTTTATTTTCACAGTGCCCTGATAGAATTGTTCATTTATTTTATATAATTTGTTTTCTCATTAAGAATTTCAGCTCCCTAAGGGAGAAGAGACCTTGTCTGTCTCGTTCAAAGGTACCCTTGGCACTATATCCATTATAGAGCCACGTGGATGCCACTAGAGATGTGCTGAATGAGTGAATAGAGGTGTCCACCTTGGACCCATAGCCCCAAAGGGAACCAATGAATTGGAGCAGGCAAAATTAAGGTTTCCTCCCTGGCCTCCCTCCCCTCCTTCTTTCCTGCCTGCCTGTGCCTCCTAGAACGCCACTTCTAGGTTGCAAGTACTCTTATCCCCACTGTTCACACACAAAGGAGGTAAATGTACTCACACAACTCTTCCCCCTTCCTCATCAGATAGGCACCTACATACATGTGGGCTGGCCACTCCTGATGCAATCTACCCGGAAGACTGTGTCTACTACAATTTGACATCCTGCACAGCCCAAGGTCACTGTATTCATTTAGGCATTCCACACACAATAAGCACTCTCATTGTGTCGGACACTGTTTTAGGTAAAAAAGGAAGGTCCCTGCTTCACTGTACTAACATTGTGGAGAGAGAACAGATGGGGACTCTCAAGGGATACTTGTATCTGCAGATGACTGGCCTCCAGCCTGTTCAGCTCTTCTTGGCCTTAAAGATTCAGGTTAAAGGCCCTTTTTGGTGTAGATTTCCTGGTAAGCCAAGCTCTCACCGAAGACTTTCACTTAGTGTGCTGTGCAATTCTAAACTGTCACATATTCAGCACTATGGTTTGTTCCTCATCTCAAATTCATACTGCCACAAAATCCCATCTTCATATTTTTTCATGCCTCCTTACAACTCAAACCCCATAGCCAATACTTAAATACTTGCTAACTACTCTTTTTTTTTTCCTTCAGTACTAAGTAATGCACCCATGGCCATCCAACTGAGCGAGCCTTTTAACATTTTGACAGGATCTCGGCTCAGTTGCCAAGACTAGGCTAGAACTCGTTAACCTCCAGCTTCGGCCTCCCAGAGTGCTGGGATTACAGGTGCTTGGTTCTAGCTAACAGCTGAACATAGGGACATTTCCCAAACCTGGTATCAGGACCTGTGAAGCCACTGAACCACTGTGGTACTTTCAAGACTATACATTTTGTCTAGCAATCTCTGGGAACAAAATCAGCATTAACCATATGGTAAACTAACACATTATAAATTTAGACAAATAAGAATCAAACATAGCGTGCAGGACATGGTGGCGCATACCTGTTATCCCAGCACTCAGGAGGCTGAGGCAGGAGGATCATTGTGAGTTCAAGACCATCCTGGGCTACAAAGTGAGCTCAAGGCCAGCCTGAACTACACAGTGAGAGCCTGTCTCAAAAAGACAAAAAAAAAAAAAAATCAATTATGGAATAAAAGTGCAAAACGTACATGGATATTTCTGCCCTTGCTTTGGACATTCTTTCTGGCTGTGTAACCCTGGTAAGTTAATGAATAGCAATGGGCCTGCTTCAAAATCTGTGACAGCCAAGCATAGTGGGCACATACCTGCAATCCTAGCACATGGGAGGCTGAGGCAGAAGGATCGCCACAAGTTAGAGGCCAGACTGGCCTACATAGTGAGTTCAAGGCCAGCCTGAACTGCATAGCAAGATCCTGTCTCAAAAAAGAAATCAAAATCTGTGACCGGTGTTAACAGTCATGTTTTACCTGATAGGATTCTTATGAGGATTGAGAATACAGTATCAATGTACATAAATGAACTGGGTGTGGTGGCTCATATCTATAATTCCAGCACTCAGGGAGGCTGAGACAGGAGGGCTGCAAGTTCAAGCCCAGTAACTTAAGACCCTGTCGCAAAAAATAAAAAGAGCTGGAGATGCAGCTCAGGGCGAATGCCCTGGGTTCAATCCCACTGTCGTTCCCCACCACGCACACAGAGTGTACAGGGGTTTAACACAATACCTGGCATGTGAGTGATCAAAACATATTAGCTTCCTTTGTTACCTTCCAGGACCTTCTCTCCTAGTTTTGTTAACCCATAATTTCTCTATACTCAGAAGGACTGTTTTGGAAATCTGTGGGACATTAGTGGGGCGTGGTGGTGCAGCCTGTAAACCCAGCACTCAGGAGGCTGAGGCGGGAGGATCCTTGCAAATTCGAGGCCAGCCTCCGCTACAAAGTGAGCTCAAGGCCAGCCTGAACTGCATAGTGAGACCCTGTCTCAAAAAGACCAAAAACAGAAAGAGAAAGAAAAAAAAGAAATGGGACATTGCCTGGATGACCAAAATGAAAAGACTATCTCTTTCTCCAGAAGAGAAGCTTCTGCTGCCTGTTTCTCCATCTTTAAAATGGGAAAGTTAGTCATCCTATCTGCCTGCCAGACTGTAGTGAGAGCCTAGATGTAAAGCACCTTGTAACTGAAAAGCACAATGCTCCTGAGTTACTGCTTAAGACGCATGGGTTCTGGACCAAGATCAGTGACCTAAGAGATCACCTGTAAAATACGAGTAACAAGAGTACCTATCTCACAGGATTGTTGTGAGACATAAGCAAAATAATACAAAGTATTTGGGGCCTACAATACCAGAAGAGCCCAACTACTACAAGTTATTATTAAGTTTACTAGTTATTACGATGCACTGGACTCAGAATCCCCAAACGTGGGGTGGAACGAAACCAATAGTGAAGAAGAAATGGGCTCTGCAACCCGCGTGGCAACCTCGGGCAAGGTGGACCCTCTGCAAACCCTGATTCCCAGGGCCAAAAAATGAAAAGCACTGCAATGGATCCTCTTCCACTCCGCCGTTAAAGGCAACAGAACAAAGGCCACCTACTCCCCAGCTGGTACCCAGAGGGCCACCACTCAAAATCCCTGCTGCTCAACTCTTCCCAGTGTGACAGCAAAAGCGCCCGTGTCTCCATCCCGAGAGACGCGTCCACGCTTCGCCGCCACCACTCGTTTCATCAGCAACTCGCTCCTGCTGCTGTTGCCCAAAGTTTCCCCGGGCTCCTGGCCACCGGCCATCGGTCAACCCCGAGAGGACCAGGATGGGGGCGCCCAATCTAGAGTCCCAGCCGGGAAATTCCGAAACCGCTCCGGTGGCCAGGCAGGGAGTGACAGGTGAGCGGGGCGGAGGACAGCGCCTGTGGGCGCGAGAGGAAGGCGGCGGCCGCGCGCTCCTCTCCGAGGCCGTTGCCTACGCCGCCCCCGGCCCCGCTCTTCGCTTTTGGCCCGGCTGTGCCCGACGCCACAGCCTACCGGAGCCCAGTGCCCGGGCCTCTCAGCCGTCGCGCCGGAAGGGCTGGGGATCACCGAGGCGACCGGGTACGCGGGGTTCTTCCCGCGCGAGCCTCAGCTTGGCGGGGTGGGCGCACGCGCACCGGCGCGCAACGCCGTAACCCCTTCCTCCCCGCGCGCCCTCTGCACTCCCACCCACCCACCCACCACTCACCGTCGATGTCCCCCAGGGTCAGCTCGTCGCCCAGCTCCGTGAGGGTCTCCATGGTCTCTAGACCGCCCAGCTCACTGCTCTCGTCCATCTCCCGGTTCGGCGCAGAGGCCCCCCTTGCCGTCCCGCTCAGGGAGACGCGGGGGCGGTGCCGCCGCCACCGCCCATGACACCCGACAACCCCCGCCCGGTACCGCCTCACCGGCCCTTGCCAGCCGCCGCCATGTTTGCGCTGCGCCCCGGCGCTGCGCGGAAGGGGCGGGGCGGGATTCCCCCTTCCCAGCCCGCGCCCTCTGCGGCCCCGCCCCCAGGCCGCGCGTCCCCTTGTTTGTTGTCAATGGGACCAGGCTAGTCTTAGCCAATCGGCGCGCGAAGCGGCGCGTGGGGTGATAGTGCGTCAACGATCAGCAGCTCAGATTTGCATAGCGAAGCACCGCCCATCGCAGCCTCGGAACGAATGAGGCAAATAGCCGCTGGGTCTTCAGCCCAGCCTCCTACGCTTACCTTAAAGGAGCCGCTCCTTTTTGCGTTGGATCTAGTTCACAAACGACTTGGTCCACGGACCTGGGATTGAAGGGTTAAAGAGCCGCCGCCGTCCCCAGCGACCGTCAGCCGCTCCCTACACTAGCAGTGAGTACATTACGTCATCTTCCCAGCTGCCTCTCCCCCACCCCCGGCCCTTCCTTCCTGGTGAAGTGGGTAGAGTCAAATTTAGCCCCCAACACTGTGGAGACTGACTAAGTCACGCTCCTCCCAGCCTTCTAAAACCAGAAATATAGACTGAGAGGATCAGGAATTGTCCAAGTGCGGCTAATATTTTAGAACTTCGGCGCCTTTGCCCCTGCCGCGACCACGCGCTTACACCATTCGACCTCAGTCCCGGGAACCGCAGGACTTATAGGGGCTTTAAACAGCTGCCAAGCGCCGAGGGCTTTGAAAAAGTTCCGCGGGGATTCTGAGGCTCGTTCCAGGCATGGATTTTCACTTCTTCAGGCGCCTCGCTCAGGCTTCTTGCAGCTGGTCACGTTGTGCAAAGGTGCAAACTTCCAAGAATCTACCATAAGAAATAATAGGACTGCTCAAAGAAACTCGGGAATAAATACGGATGTCCAAAGACGGAACTGAGAAAAACTGCGAAGTCCAATAAGGCACTGATAAATTACATTCTCATGATGGGACACAATGACATTAAAAATTATGTACACAGGGCTGGGGGCATATAGCTCAGTGCCAGAGTGGCTTAGTGTGTGCAAGGCCCTGGGTTCCAACCCTGGCAACACAACAAAACAAAAGCAAAAAAAAAAAAAAAAAAGTAAAAGTACGTAAATGAGAAGAAAAGGCTTTTCGTAACATATCATCAAAAGGCAAATGTCGCATGTAATCCCAGCACTGTGGGAGGCAGAAGCAGGAGGATCACAGCTTTGAGCCCAGCTTGGGCGTTTTACCTGTTTAGCAAAACCCTGTCTGAAAAATTTTTTAAAAGGATTGAAGGTGTAGTTTAGTGTGAAGATCCTAAATTCAATCCCCAGTATCATTCCCTGCCCCCGGCCAAAAAAAGTAAGTTTCCCATGAGTCTGAGGTAAATGTTGCTCACGAGTTGGCCAGAATTTAAAGCACACTTGCTTAAAGTTACTGTGTGGCCTTGAACTCAAGTAACTATTATCTCTAAAATGGATATGAACCGTCTCAAAGACAAAAAGAAAAAAAATGGAGATGAAAGCTGAGAGTGGTGGTGTAATCCCAATATTCTGAAGGCTGCAGCAGGAGGTTCATCCATAGTGAGACACTGTCTCAAAATAAAGTAATGTAAAATGTAGATAAAATAGTACCCTTCATAGTAGTGAAGATTACATGAGGTCATATGCATGTTGGTTTGACAACATTTATTGAACATCTCTGACAGGTGAACAGATCCTGCCCTCATAAGAACTTCCAGCCTGGGGTGGGGAGCAGTAAATGTACAGATAACAAGACAATGGTGGCTGAAGCTCCAGTGGCACAATTGATTAGTGCCCGGTACTTATATAACAAGAGAATGGTTCAAGTGACCAAGGAAAAGTAATGGGACCTGACTTGTGAGTCAAGACTTTGACTGCAAGGTGTAGCTCAGTTTGCCTAGCATGTGCAAGACCCTGAGTTCAAAAGTGGCACTTAAAAATGAAATCTGCAATGCTGAGGAAGGAACTCCCTGTGGTATAGCCCTGGGATCAGATAATGTGGACAAAAGCCTTGAGGCAGGCTGCTGCCAATCAGCTTATGGCAAAGGTCGAGGCATATAGTAAGGTGCCATACAACGCAGCAATTATAATTGAAAAACTAAGGAAGGCCCAACAGCTGGCTGTCAGTTGTGCATGTGGAATGGATTGTTCTTTCTTCCTGGTATTTTTTTATTGTCTGAATTACCTTTTATGATGAGCATTTGTGCTATTGAGAAATATATTCTTTCTTTGCGGGGAAAGCAAAACAAGAGTGCTCTTCGTTATTTACACTGAGAAACAGAAAACCACACCCGAACTCAGCTGCCCTGCTCTGGACCTGGCACCAAGCTAGACAGTGCTATCTTCATCTGTGGCTCTCAGTGGCTGTCAGGATTCCCTGCACTGATGGTTGCTGTCTGCCTGCTTCTCTGCCAGGATCCCTGAACAAACCACTTCGATCAAGCACCCTCCCACTAGATCTGGGGCTTCCTTAAGCACCAAGAGCTGGGGATATAGCTCAGTGGCACAAGTGCCTGCCTGGCAAGCACAAGGTCCTGAGTTTGATTCCTTGTACCAAAAAGAAAAAAAAAAGCACCGAGAGACCAATGAGAGGGGCACAGGGCTTCCCACTGGGCAGCTGCTCGTGGCTCCCAGCAGACCTGCCCAGGGGCCTTGGTACCTGGCCAAGTGGCCTGAGAGAGCAAAACTGAAGGCTCAGGAGAAACACCACAGTGGCGCTGCCCTGGATCCGAAGCTCAGTAAGACACCAATATACACTGTCTGGCCTGGATCCCACCTGACTGAGCATCTCTTTCAGCAGGCAACTTGCTCTGGCTGGGAGGACAGAGGCTGGCTCTATGAGATGGAGCACCATTGACAAGTCAGGACTCAAGTTCATCTGAAAAGGGAGGGACTGGACTAGGTGACCATTTTGTCAAAATCTCTGCAGTGGATCTGGCACCTGTTGCAGGTCTTAGGGAATCACACACACCAACACCTTCTCTTTGAGGCCTTTGCTCCCAGTGCCTCTCTTTTCAGGACACAGTTTAGATATCCCTTCCTCCAGGAAGACTTCCTGATGGACTGACGGAGAGCTTGATGAAGAGGCTGGGTTAGAGGGTGGGAAATAACAAGTTTGGTTTGGGATGAACTGAAACATAGGCAGTAAGCATCTCAGATGGTGACAGGGCAGATGCCACTAACTTCGAGATCTTAGAGGGAATAGCTGTCCAAGAACAAAAAAGCAAAAAGCAGCAGTGAGGCCAAGCTTTACTTTTTCACTGTACTGGAGCTTGAACCCACGGGCTTTGTCCTGAGCTACATCCACAACCCTTTTTAATTTTTGAGACAGGATCTCATTAAGTTGCTAACTTGCCCAGGCTAGGCTTGAACTGGAGATCTTCCTGCTTCAGCCTCAGTGCTGGGATTACCACTACTCCTGGCTGCCAAGGAGAAGGTAATAAAGAGGAGTCAGGAAGAGATAAAGCAGGGATTGAGGGCACAGCACCAGGACAGTAAGCCCACGAGCTGAGGCAAGGGTTGTGGACAGCAGAGGAAGAGCAAGGCTGGGAGGGAGACATTTTTACTTGTAGTAACTCCTGGTGCTGCTAAACATCCTGTATCACTCAGGACAGCCCTCCTCACACATAACAGTTATCTGGCCTAAAACAGCAACAGTGCTATTGTCCAAAAAACCTGCCTTAAAGAATATTAGGGGAGGGGCTGGGGATTTAGCTCAGCAGCAAAGCGCCTGCCTGGTAAGCGCAAGGTCGTGAGTTCGGTTCCCGGTACCGGAGAAAAACCAAAAAAACCAAAAAAAAAAGAATATTAGGGGGCTCCCAGACTCCCTAGGGGGTCCCACAAACTGGGTCTGGAAACTTAGCAGACTGGAACAGTGTCCCAGACCAGTGACAATATCTGCTGCATCACTGGGCACTCCTGGCACTGGGTATTGGATTGGCTACTAGAATCACCTCCCACTGCTATCCCTGGTACCTGCGGCCACTAAGGCCACCAAGAGCCACACCGACTGGGTGCATAGTTGGTGGAGGTTCAGTCAGGTAAATGAATTCTAGTTGCAGGCAACTGGACAAACAAGTGCCTTCAGGTCTTTTACCCCTCTGGGGTGAGGGGTGCCCTCTGCCTGCATAAGGCTCATAAGGTTCCCGGAACAAAGGACCAGCCACAACAAAGACCAAGAGAGGGAGCAAATATTGGCTGTTTGTTTCTTTGAAGGTGGCAAATGGAAACACTGGGCTCATCTAAGGTGGAGAGGACAAGACCAGCCAACATGAAGAGAGGCTAAAGGTGTACAGGGAAAAGCCCAGGAGGAAGAGGGGCCAGACACGAAGACAGGTACACAGTGGGCGTCCAGCAAATCCACGGAAGAACAAAGAGAAGGGCACCTGTCAATGAGAAGCCATTTATATTCCAGGCACCCTCCTACGACGAGGGACTTTTCCACAGGTTCTTATCCTCTCAAGTACCTGAGTACTCTGAGATGGGGACCCAAGAACCTGTGTGGCAAGGGACTGTTCTGACAAGAGCAAGGGAACAACCTTTCTCATCACTCTGAGGTCCTGCTGATGACAGTCCCTAGAATTCACTTAATAGGACCCCCACCCAAAGCTGGAACTACCTCTGCACTGTCTTGAGGCATCCTTTGGCCTCCTATGTTCCCAAGAAACCCTGGTCCACAGCAAAGCAGGCATGGTTCTTAGTTCTTTCTCCATTAAGGGAGGAAACACCTTCCCTGCAAAGTCAGCAGCCACAACCACTCTCCAGCAAGAAGAGGCCAGGGAGAAGCCTCGCGGCTGCTGGCCACAGTCTCACCTGCACACAGCAGGACAGCCTAAACAGCTGATAGGTGGGTCCTGATCCCTCTCTTTCTATAGCCCTTTAGCTCACAAACTAGCACAGCCATCTCCTATAACCCTCACGGGGATGGCTGAAGGCACATGTCCCGGGCATGGAGCCCAGGTCTCTCAAGTGAAGCCTACCACCACCCAGCACTACCTCCCTTGTCCAGCTTCCTCCCTCCGGGGAAAATGGGGCTGGTGGGCAGTTCTGATGGGAAAGCATCGACGGACTTCCTCTCAGTTTCCTTCCAGCTGCTTCTCATCCCCTTACTTCTCCTGAGTGACTGGTAAGATGCAGGATGCTTCAGGTCCTTTCATAAGATCTCCCTGAGGCCTGGCTTCTCTTTGCTGTGCTGCCCAACAAGGAAGCCAGCTTCAAGAAAGCAGTTTAGAACCAGGCATACCTGTAATCCCAGTACTCTGGGAGGCTGAGGCAGGAGGATCACAAGTTCAAGCCCACTGTGGGCAACTTAGCAAAAGATCCTATCTCAAAATAAAAATAAATAAAAAGGACTGAAGATATAAAGCAGAGCAAAGGACCCGAGTTCAGTCCCCAGTACCAAGGGTAGGGGGCACACATGAAAAAATAGATTAGGGCTGGGCCTAGGGTTCAGACATCAAATTCATTTGCCACTGAAGCTACAAGCACAGGGAAGGGATGGGGTAAGCCAGGGTCAGTAAGTTTGACAGGCTCAGGCTCAGGTTTCACTTGAGTGCTATCAGGGGTGGGAGCTGGGTGTGGAGAGGACTGGGGATGGTCATGTGCCTCTGCTCCTTTAAGAGGCTGACCCTGACAGGGGTTGACAGGTCAAAGAGGCAGAGGTAGAACTCTCGCTGAAGCCCCTCCCTCCTCTGTTTAGGGAGGGCTGGACTGACAGGCAGGAGTCCCCTCTCCCATGGTGGGAGAAGGCAGAGCCACAGAAACCAGGCTGCCCACTTGGTGCTTAACCCTTTCTGCAGCTTCCCTGCCCCATGCTGGAGGACTCCTCGCATTGCTCCTGAGATGGGGAGCTCGCTGTCTCAGGGCAGCCCTGCCATTGCAGAGTACACCCCTGCAGCCTGCACCACAGGTCAAGGATCTTCCCTGATCTGCTAACTGCTCCCTGCCTGCTTAGTGACTGTCCCCAGCTATCCAAGGTCTCCCTGGATGACTAAACACCCTCCCGGCCAATCCCTGGTCAAGGACAGCTGAGAGGGAGAAAGTCCAAGCCCCTGCTTCTCTGCTTCGCCAGACCTAGGCTCCTAGGGATAAGGCAGGAACATCCACGAAACTCCTCCACACATTCCTGAGGCTCCTGCTTCCTTTACAGCCCGCTCACCAGCTTTGGTGGGCCCGATGGGTTTGCTGGCTCTGAAAGGTTTGCTGGCTTTTATTATGTTTCTGAAGAAGGGCTGGGACCTGAGCTGCTGAATAGCTCAGTGACACAGTAGGACCAACTGTAGGCATGGCGCCTTTACCTGTGACTCAGAGCCTGGTTCTGCTGTTTTTCCAAAGGGTGGCGGCAGTCAGCTGGTGGCCCTCACCCACTAGGAGAGTCCAGGATGCCCTCCTTCCTCCCCCAGCAGTCTCTACAGGGTCCTGCCTGCAGCATGGTGTCTTCTAAAGGTCCCTTCGGCGCCCCCTCCAGACAGGCTCTGGAAGTCCGGCTACCTGAACTTCAGTCCTTTTGGCTCCTGAGGACCCAGCAAATATGGAGTCCTCATCTTTCCAGATGCTCTCCAGATGCCAGGGCCGGTGCTCGCCACCACGGTGGATGCTGCCACAGCAGAGCCACATGGTACTTCTTCCTCCCGACTGGGCCTCTTGCTGGCCCCTTGGTTCCTGACCTGCTCCAGGGCTACAACTCAGACTGCGACCGGGAGATCCTCGGACCTTTGCGGATCTCTTTCCGCTTCTCCTCTTTCTTCCTGCGTTTCTCTTCTTCCCTCAGGGCCTTCTGGAAAGGGTCGGTGCTGGGAATGAACTGAGGAGGAAAAGAGCAGAGTGGTGTAATTCAGTCTGCCAGCAGCAGAGTCTCCTTAGAGCTAGGCCACAGGGCGTGGGGACAAGGTTACCTAGACACAGCCCTGCCCTCAGGGAGCTCCAGACCTGGAGAGAATTACCTGGGCTTGGGACAAGTGCTGAGTAGGTCTAGAAAGACAAGCGGGAGTTTGCCCAGCCAACAGGGAACAGAGGGCATTCCAGGCAGAGGGACAGAAGCTCGAGGTGTGAACTGACAAACAATAAACTCCTCTAGAGAGAAGGGATAGAGTGGCCCTGGGGGCCCCTGTCCGTCACACCGTCTAGGAGGAGGGGATGGGGCCAGAGTTTCAACAACAGGCAGGCAACAGCTTACAAAGGAGCAGGCTGTAGGTGAGAGAGCACACAGGAACAGAGGTGGATTAGAGGTTAAACTAGCAGACCTCAAGCAGGTGGGAGGAAGAGATGAACACCAGGCACGTGAGGTGGGAGGAGGACTTTGGCTGAGGCGTCTTCAGCTGCAATCCCCCGCAGGCCTTTGGCTCTTCCCTCTCCACACGCTCCAGTAGTCTTACCTTGGCTATAGCTTCTGCTAGCTTATATGGTCACTGACCCCGCTGCATGTCCATGTCTAAATTCTGCTAGAATGTTCCAAATGCCCCCTGTTTTGTAGTTCCTAGATTCCCTGTGCCTTCCCCGTTCCAGACCTCTGCACATGCTGTAGCCTAGGCCCACAAGGCTCTTCCTAGCCCTGCCATCTTTGTTACATTCGTGCCAGCTCCGCTGTCACTGCCTGTAGAACCTCCCCCAGGCTGCCTCCTCTTCGGCCCACTCTCTCCAACTTGTGCTGCTTCCTTCTTAGCATGCACCTCTGCCCGTGATCACCCACTTCATGCCAGCCCCGCACCAGACAGCACGTTCCACGAGCACAGGATGATGTTAGGCATTGCTCACACTATGCTCAAAGTCCCTAGCACAGGGTCTGCCTGCTTCTCGGCAGCACTCAGTCTGTGCTTTTTAAATGAATGGATGAGCTTGCTAGAATATGAAATGCAATAGCATTCAAAACTCAGGTAGTGCAAGTCCCCAGTGGGCCCCGCAAGGTGGCAGAAGATGGCGGAGGGCGGCAGCAGCACAGAGAGGGATGAAGCAGAGAGAAGGTCTTCCAGGCCACGGCCTCCGAGCATGTGGGATTTACAGATGGCCCTGGCAGAATTATATGAAGATGAAGTGCAACGCAAATCTTCCACGTCTGATAGACCTAAAGCTGCAGTCTTTAGAGCCCACAAACACCACCTCAATGATTTTATTCAGGTGAACATGAATACAGCGGATTATGTATAGTCCGACCTTCAATTGGGAAAACCGTGAATGAATTTTTCAAAGAAGCAAAGGAACATGGGGCTATCCCTTTGAATGAAGCCACAAGATCTTCAAGTGATGACAAATCAAAGTCATTTACAGGTGGGATACAGACTGGGTAATTCCTTTTGCAAATGGTCTGAATATACATGGAGAAAATCAGCTGCAAGATTCCTAACTTAGGTATATTTAACTATGGAAGGAATGTGTAATTCATCATCAAAACTCAGGTTGTGAAATATGCCCCTTTTATGTGATCTTAGGGCAAACTGGACAAATGTTTGATGGAGGTAGACATTAAAAACAAACTAAGACTCCACCTTACGGCGCAATCTACCTATCGGGTTAGATTGAGTCACGCATCCGGAAGATGGGGGAAATCACAGAAGTGTGGTCCAGAGAGCGGAAGTGACATGCTTAAGCAGCTTAAGTCACGCAGCAAGTGGGAGGCCGACCTACGACTAATCTGCCAGGCTCACGCCCCCCTCTTAGAGCTTCCCCTACTCCAATCCCTTGAATGAATCCTGACCTGACTAAAAAGGGGAGCTGAGAGACACCTGAGGCCACAGAGGGCCCCAAACTCCCTCTGACTGAGGAAGGTCAGGTCAAGAGGTCCTGACCCCTCCAGCCCCCGCAGGCTTAGTCTAAACTTAGCTGGGTCAAAAGAAACATGACCTCCCTTTTCCTACTCTCTTTCCTCCTGGCACCAGCTCTTATCCGTCCTCTCTTCCACCAGTGGGGCTCCAACACTCATCTCCTCTCCAGCCCCCACATCATCAGTTCTCCCTCCCTGACGGGACAGTCCCATCACACACCAGCCAGCTGTCCTCCCTCCTCTATGACTAAAATCTGAAACCAGAGCCCCCAACAGCCATCTGCCATTCGCCTGCTCTTCTCAAAACCAAAACTTTTCAAAAGGCTGTCTCTACTTGCCTCACCCACATACTCTCCTCCCATTCTTCTGAAACCCAGGCTTTTGCCCCTACTCCTCCATTAAAACAGCTTCTATCAAAACCACCGTTAGCTTCCAGCAGCTGATCTAAACCCAGAAACTGAACTCCATCCTTGTCTTCTGTAACTTCCCAGAAGCAACTGGCAAGTTTCTGAGAAACTGCTCTCTTCGCAATGAGTGCTCCTTCCAGAAGTTTCTTTGCTAGTTCCTCCTCATTCCCCGCCGCATCCAATGGTAACCCAGTCTCAGGGCTCAGCCCTCAGATTGCTCCTCTGTCTGCCCGGCCCTGCAGGTGACCTGTCCATGGCTTTCAGTGCCTTCTACACAGGCATGACTCCCACATCTGTAGCTCTGGCTGCCACTTTCTCCCTGAATCTAGAGTCATCTATCCAAGCACCTTCTCAATAACTTCATTCAAATGCTCATCAGGTACAGAAACAAACTCAGTTCCCTCCCTAACCACTGGAGAAAATGCAGCCGCGGCCTCCGTTCCCTGGCCAGAGATCTTCTAGGAACCCTTAATGCTTCTCTCACTCCACGGACATCTGCTTCCCTGCCAAATCCTACCGGCTCTGCTGCCAGATGAGAACCAGAACCTGACCGGTTCTCCCCTGCTGCGCTGTCGCCCCCCAGTCAAGCTTCCTTCGACAGCACAACTGCTTCCTCAACTGGGTCCTTGCTTCCTTCCGGCTCCCAGCTCCACACAGGAGCCAGGCAACTCCTTCTAACTCGACAATCAGAGACTGTCCCCTTGCTCTGTATCATTCAGAACTAATGACAAAGCCCTCACCAAGGCCCTGAGCTGAGGGTCTTGGGATCTGGCCTACACTACTGACCTCCTCACCCTGCCCATGCCTGACAGACGTTCCTAACGCACAGCCTTTGCTGCCCCTGCTCCTTCAGCCTGTAGCGCTCTTCCCCCAGGTCCACAGCTGACTCCTTGCTCCCTTCAGGTCTTTTGAGTCAGACTGTCTTCTGTCCATGTGAAATAGTGCCTGCACCCCTGCCTGACCTGGGGCATTCCTTATCCACATTCTGCTGCCTTTTTCTCCATAGCCTTTGCTGTATCATGTATTTTTCATTAACCATCTCTCTCCTCCAACACAAACACCACTCCAGGAGAGCAAGGCTCCTCTGCCTCCCCACTGGCTGGAGGTCAACAGATGCTCACTGAATGTTGAACAAATGCATGTCTATGATCTGAGCCGCTGCACAAGCACATCCTCCTCCTGAAAGGCTCTTCCTTCATTGGTCTACCTGGGAACTCTTTCTCAATCTTTTGCTTTTTCTTTGCAGTTCTGGTGATGGAATCCAAGGCCTTGCACAAGCTAGGCAAACCTCTACCACTGAATCACATTTTCAGCCCTTATTTTTTTTATTTTATTTTGAGATAGGATCTCACTAAGTTGCCCAGACTGGCCTCCAACTTGCAATCCTCTGCCTTTGCCTCCAGAGCAGGTGTGTGGTACCACACCCAGCTTAACTCCTAACTCATTCCATTCTCTCTATCACCTGCCAGCAGATGCTGGGTCAGGTTCCCTTCAGGGGCCGACAGCCCATTAGGTTTCACTCCCCACTGGCACAGTGATCATGCTGGAGTGGGACTGTATTTCCCCAATGCCTTTCCTGGCATACTGTGAGCATCTCAAGGGCAGGGACAAGAACAATGTCCTGGTCAGGGACAGCGGTCAGCACGTCACCTGACAGAAGATGCCTCTAATGATGGTGCATAAAATGTAGGTAGACTCCTAGAACACTTCCCAGCACAAAGTGCAATGTACGAGAGGAGGTGAGCAAACCTGTGGCTGCTACAGATGGATAGGTCTGTACTGGATACCAAAACTGGGTGGTGGGCTGTGGGTATAGCTCAAGGATAGAGAGCTTGCCTAGGATATGTGACGCCCTGGGTTCAACCTTCAGCATCACTCACACACAGACAAAAAAAAGTGGATACAAATCTCAGGATAGTCTCCAGCCAATGAAATGGAAGGAATTTATACTGCTTCTATCCTTATGTCCAAGAGCACACTATGCTGACATTAGTCTAAATTTATCCATGCTCTCATCTTCCTCCCGTGTGAGAGGGACATCCATGACTCTAGGCCAAGAGCCTGCTTCACAGCAATAAAGCATCCTCATGGGTGCCCCCTTGTTGGGAAAGAAAATCTGCCATTGAGCACTGGTGCATGTTTTGGCTGATCATCCCAAGAAACAAGTCCCTGACTGTTCTTGACCAGAAACACGTGTCAGGGTTTGACTGCAGTATGCAGTCTGGGGAAATGAATTGTCTTGGTTTACATAAAGGGGTACCAACTACTTCAATGGGGTAAAATCATATCCACCACACTGCTACACAAAACAAATTACTAGGCTTGACAGGGCCCTCAATACTGGCCCACTGTGGCCCAACTAAGGTAAAATCTAAGCTACTGGAAAAAATGCAGAACTGACTTGTTATTCTTTACAAGTCCTGCTTTCAAGGCAGGCTGCTGGCTGGTGACTGGAAACTAACATTTTGAGGGCCCCCTGCCTGGCTCCAAAATCAGTAATAGTGGTTCACTGTGGCTAAACTGTGAAAATAATATGGTTTATGTTGAACACCTGCTCTCTTCCTGGTAGTCTGGAATTTGGGGACAAGTCAGGCAAAGGGTGCCCATATAACCAGCTCCCAATAAAACACTTGGCACAGGTCTCTAACGAGCTGATAGACATTTTACATGTGTTGTTACAACTTGTTGCTAAGAGAATTAAACCTATCATGTGTGATAGGCTACTAGGAGAGGACTCCGGGAGCTGGTTTCCCTGGAATTTGTCCCACATGCTTTTTCCCTTTGCTGACTTTGCTTTGCATTCTTTCTCTATAGTAAATCACAGCCATGAGCATGGCTCTATGCTGAGTACTGTGAATTCTGCTAGAGGATCGTCACAACCACAAATACAACTATCTGTTAAATCTTGTGTCTCCTTTCAGCAAAGCACCAGCCCTAGTTGTGGTTCTGAGAACTCGAGACAAAAGTGACTACAGGCAGCAGCAGCCTGCTAGCCCTGGGACAACACTGGAACATTAAGTGCCATAAGGGCCAGTCAGACAATGATCTGAGTTAAAAGCTGTCACCCTTGCCTTACGTGACATTCCTAGCAACTAGACATGTTATATGCTTACTGTTATCAATGTCTTAGCCATTTGGTTTGCCACTCAGAAGACTAAAGAAGGGCAGATCAAAGACACCCACTCTTCTGGGCCACAAACTGTAGGAACAGCTTGTGGTCACAAACCAGATAGTCTGGGCCACTTGTTTGTTGACTTTGTTTGTTTGTTTTAAGACAGGGTCTTGCTATGTAGTTCAGGCTGGTCTAGAATTCCTATGTAGACCAAGCTGGTTTCAAACTCACGGTGCTCCTCCTGCTTCAGCCTCTTGAGTGCTCAGACTGTAGTTGTATGCCACCACACCTGGCTTGGGTGACTTGATGGATGCCCACAGTAAAGTTCGTTCTCCAATGAGACTGACTAGAATTAAACAAACCAAACTTGATGCCACCCAGATCACTACCACTGTCACCTAAATGCGTCACTGTTCTAGACATGGCAACATGCCCACTCTGGACAGGCACAGAGCACAGGACTATATTCCTGTTTTGACTAACTGACTCTTGGGTTGGGATGGCCTGAGATCAACAGGATTATGACCACTGGTTGAGAACACTGCTTATAGTGCCCTGGCTCGTCAGTATGGGCAAAGATGGGAGATATTAACAGATCTGTATAAATTTGTAAAGGACCCTTGTCCCACTCACACCTGACCCATCTAAAGGAAGGATCTATGCAAGAAGAGGGGAGGACTGGAGAAAAGTGATATTATACCTACTGAGATGGGATACACACATTCTGTAGCAATAATCCCAGCACCTACGGAGGGAATGCCTTACACTCCAGAAGGTACAGGAAACAATTAATGCTCTCTTTGTCCCTTAGATCCAGCACTGCCACCTGGCAAAACAATTCTAAGGTCTGCCCAAACTCAGTGGCAGCTGCCACTGACAGTCTGGCCATCTGCTGGGTGTGCCATTCCCATCCATGTGATGGGAAAACTGACACGGACCCTGTCAGTACTAAACTATTCTCCTGTGCCTGATACCATCAAAGGTAGCTCCTGAAAGCTACTCTGTACAAACACAGCGGACAGCACAATCTGTTTCAATCTGTCAGATACAAACTTATCTGCTTCTCCTGGTGCCTGAGCAGCCTTAGATTATACCAAGTAGGGCCGCTGAAGCCAAAACTGCGACACTGCCCTTGAGGTTTGACCAAACAATGTACTGGAGATTCAAAGCGAGAGAGCTTAGGCCATGGAAGGGTTGCTTTGGATCCAACTACTGCCCCTTGTAACTATTAACAATAAGATTCAAGGAAGACTGAAGATTTGCAGGTAAGTCTAAACTCTCTCATGTAGGTTGTACTAGATATTAGATTGGTCTCGGATCATAGCCTCATTGTCCAAAATGAGACCCAAGGGTTCCTTCCAGGATTTATTCAGTTGGCTGAGTAGGGGACCCTGAAAGACATGGTTGAGGTCAATACTGCAGACTGACCTCATCCTGCTGTTCAGAATACAGCTAACAATAGTAGCCCTAATAAAGTATGCAAAACGTTAAGTGGGTTTGATCATGGCCTCTACTGGTCAGATTCATCAGACTGAATAGCATATTTATGTGAAAGTTTGAGTTAAACCAAAATATGTATGTCTTGGGTGTTGGGGAGACAGTACACCACGGTCCTGAGTATCCCTACATATTCTTGCTTGATACACGAAGAATGTAGAGCTAGGGCCACCTTGTCCGAGCCGTTTTTCAGGATTGTGTTTGCAGAGAACAATCTTGGAGGATGGGTTCTTGAAGAACAGGTTTGCTTCCATTCACTATAAAAGTGATGAATTTCCTAAGCTAGTGGTCTTCAGGTATAATTCAAACTCCACTACATGCACAGCCTCTGCCTGGGTCTCTCAGTGACCCTCCCATGGGCCTTGGGAAAGAAGATGAACCAAGAAGACCAGGCCAGCTGTTTGGTTACTGCTGTAATAAAGTCTGGTATCTCTGACCTGTCAGCATCCATGTAACAGAAGCAGGCTGGCTCCTTAGCCTGCTAACAAGCAAGTAAAACTCCTAGACTCCTCATAACCCTCACATTCCTCCACACACTAGTGACAGATTCTGGACTCAGACTCAGGAAATGTCTGGCTCCAGCTCCAAAGGCCTGGTGTTCCACCCTAGACTCCAGTCCCTGAGCACGCAGCCTCTCACAACAGGCAGAGGCAAAGCAGACACAGACACAGGCCCCAGCAGCTCACCTCTGTGCGGTCTGTTTTAAATGGGTTCTGGAAGTTGGAGTCTTTCTCACTGATCCCCAGCTCCTGGGCCATCTGCAGATGAAGAAAAGCTAGTCATTCTCTGTCTCTGCTGCCTGTTCACCAGAAACCCACTGCCTCCATGCTGGGACTCAGGACCCTGGTCAACACAGAAGCCCCATGCATGGGATCTCCATGGCCACAGTTGCCCTGAGACTCATCACTGAAAACAGTCAAGCACTGACACGTGGGCCCAACTGCAGGCAGATGCGAGGCTGCCGGCCCACAATGAGATCGAGGGCTCCCAGACCTTCTCTTCTCCAGTCCTTACCAGGCTGAGGATGGGCGAGTGGGGCCCCTGGTCAAAGACGCCCGTCTGGTTACAGAAGCTGATGCCCCAGCGGATGAGGAGGTTCCAGTTGGAGTTGCGGTCAAAGTAGTGGTGCACAATCCTTGGGAAGCGCAGCACCACATCCCCGAAGAAGGCTGTGTTCTCCACCACATGGGAGAAAGCTGGCAAAAGGACATTAGTGAGTAGCCCATTGTAGCTGCCTTCCTTCCTACTGTCCACCTGATTGGTCCCAGGCATCCTCCAGAGAATGCAGGTACCCACCCAACAAGATCAGAGAGGGAAATGGCCCACTGACCACAGGGTGCCCACTGCATGTGCAGTGTCTGCTAGTGCCTTGTGTTCTCACTTCACTGAATCTTTATAACCCCCTTTAGAGGAAATGTGGCTGCTGATACCATTTTATAGATGGGAAACTAAGGCTCAGCAGCTAGTGTCAAATCAGGGCTGCAAAGCCATCTCACTGCCTAGAAAACTTGTTTGCTGTGGGAACCGAGAGGTGGGTTAAGCTGTATACAGAGACTGATGCCTCATGAGACATTCCTGAGCCCGAGTCCCCCATACAGCATGTTCACGGATGGTCTCTGGTGTTAACATAACTACAGAGGGGTCAGTTATGTCAGTTATGTTAGGAAGGCTGGTGAACAGATCAGGGTTGTGGGGTTTTGTTTTGTTTTGTTTTGTTTAACATTCTTTCCATTTTATTTTATGGTAAATGCTTCTTAAATTTTTATTTTGAAATTATTCTAAACTTACATAATATGATACTCCTTCTATTACAATCTTACATAACTATTGTATAACTATCTGAACCAGGATGTTAACAGCAATAGAATTATTAACTAACCTAAAGGTCTTACTTGAATCTTGTCAATTTTTCCTACTGTCCTTCCTCTGGTCAAAAGGTCTACCACAGAGGCAAGTCACCCAGACCTAGGGGAGCATGAAGAGTAGCTATATACCCAGTCCTGGAGGCAGAGAGGCTCCACGCAGCCCTTCTCAGCACTGGCCAACAGGATGGTAAGCAGACCCTAGAGATATGCCAGGTTGGGTCTGAGACATTTAGAGAGGGACCCCTGGGTTTTAGGATAATCTTGAACTTTGGGGAATTCAGTCAGGCTGGTTAAGAGGAAAAAGCCTAATATAGTAAAATCAAGATATTATGGAATTAAACAATTTTAAATTGTTAGATACTATACTGGTTGATATAAATTTATAGGCTATGAAGAAACAGGACAGATATAACAGTAAAGTTAAAAATATGTAGGTCAACTTTGGTCTGAAATCTTTTGAGGTGTTTTAAACCTGCTACACTAACTCATACACTATAATTTTTCTTGTTCAGTATAGAAAGAGTAGATGGTTTGTAAGTCACGAATAATCCTCCAATAAAGTATACTGTCGGTCATCACTGTTTTTTTTTTTGGTCCATTTTGAGACAGGGTCTACTATGCAGTTCAGGCTGGTCTTGAGTTCACTTTGTAGCCAGAGTTGGCCTTGAACTCACAACCATCCTCCTGCCTCAGCCTCCTGAGTGCTTGGATTACAGGCGTGCACCACCATGCCATGATTTTATAATTAGTACTGTGTGTACCTATTTTGCCACTTCTTCAAATGATTAAACTACAGCAGTTTATTTTCAACAACTATAAAAATAATAGGGCCCGGGGCTCCAAGAAGAACTCGACAACTGCATTCATCTGCTACCACTGTTAAAAGTCAGGCCACCTCAAGAGGAACTGCCCTAAGAGGCCCCATGGGCCATGCCCTGGATGCAAAGGAGACCACTGGAGATCGGTCTGCCCTCTGAGGTGGAGGCCCCAGAGATCAGACCCATGCTACCAGTTAGTCCAACAGGAATGAGAGGGCTTGGGGCATGGTCTGCCTTCTCCCTCTGGCCAGACCGTCATCTCCATCGAGGAGCCCTGGGTTATCATGACTATGGAGGAACAAGAAAACAGCCTGTTGCTAGACACAGGTGCAAGTCTCTCGGTCCTTCTTTTCAATCCTGGCCTTCCTTCCAGCCATCATACCTCAGTGAAAGGAGTCACTGGTGAGGAGGTAATATGCTATTTTTGACAACCCTTAGGCTGTAACTCCTTAATAGGTCCCTCTTGCATATCTCTGTCTTCCTGAGAAACCACTCTGAAAATACCACCACGTATTACAGCAGCCATTGATATTTTCCTACTAATCTATCCATAACTGTGTAAAGTTTGTAATGTTCCTATCCTATTTCATAAATGGATGTATGTTTATTATTATGTGTTTCCTACAACAACCATTGAGAATAGTTAATGATTTTTCAATAGGTCACTCATGTATAGCTCTATTTTCTTTAGAAGCCACTTTGAAGATACCAAAGTATAGTACAACAACTCTTGATAATCTCCTACCTCTTTTGTCTGTACCTCACTATTATTTGTCTATTTGTTTTCCTGAGAAACTATTTTGTAGACAATAATATGTAAAATGATAACCATTGATAATTTCCTACCATTTTGTCTGTAATTTGCTAAGTCCCCCCTATTATTATGTTATCCTTCTTTTATTCTTTAAAAAAAAAAAAAAAAAAAAAAGAAAAAAAAAATAATAGGGAAAACAGTTTCAATATGTGCTTCATCAGTGATGGGGGTGACTAAATCTATAACAGAAATTTGCAGAGAATGGGTTTATAAGTTTATTCAATCAATTCAGAGACTTGGAAAGTTCTGTGTTAAGATCTGGCTGGCAGAATTAACTTTTTGAAAAAGTTTTATACAAGATACTTATATTGTTAAAATTGGAGGCATAGTCAGAAGACTTAGATCATAATTGGCTTATTTTTTAATTTCCTTAACTATTGTAATTTCCACTTTTATAATAATTTTCATTTAAAAGATAAATTTATTTACTTTTTTAACAGTCAAAACTTCTTGCTGTTGTAGTCCACCTACCTTTAAAATGACTGTGTTGCTTTTAGGATACTAAAAGAAGCTCCAAAAGTTGAGATGATTGTGTGGTGCAGCGAGATATAAGTAACAGAGTTAACAAAGAAAGTGCTACAGCCTCTTTATGATAACAGCTTTCTAAATGCAGAGACATTTGGCTACATCCACGTAGACATTTCTATTTTGTTTTCAAATGAAAACTTGTTTCTTTGGCAATATTCATAAAGGAATGATTATTTTTTCCTCTTCCCTGATTCTGTAGTTGTAAGATGTACCATGGGTGTTGGTGTTATGTAACAAACAATGGATTGTAAATAGCATATGGTTCAGAATACACAATGCTAAGTTTTTTAAATATCTTAACGGTTTTTTTTCTATTTATAATTTCAAACTCCATAAAGTACACCAAGAATTTCATAAATTTGTTTTCAATGAACTGCTCTTTTTGCTACGGTAGGTCATTAAACATAGCATTTATTCTTCTAAATGGAAATATCTCATCCTCTAGAATACTGACACATTTCAATTTGTAGTTTTTTCAATTTCAATTTTTTGTGGGGGATTGGATATATTAACATTCCTCTGAATGGTATTGATAAATAGTTCAGAAGAGAAATTCAATGAAATAAAAGTAGTATTTATTCATGGTGATCAATTAATTAAATTATTTGCTAAAGGAAACTACTGTGGGTAACTTTCCATTTTTTGGGTAACTCTCAAATTGACATGAGGTGACAGTAGAGTCTGAGCATACCTGTGGAATATGCTGGTTTATTTTTAGGGCTTGAAAACACAGTCAAAGGTAACTGGTTTGGGAAGAAGCCATATAATTTTTTTTTTTTTTTTTTTTTGGTTTTTTTCCGGTGTCAGGAATTGAACTCATGAACTTGTGCTTGCCAGGCAGGCACTGTGCCACTGAGCTAAATCCCCAACCCCACCATATAATTTTAAGTTAACCTGCATGCTATAAAAACATGTTTAATAAAAAGGAAACATTTTTGAAATGTTTAAAAAAAAAAGAGGGAAACACCAAGGCAAGGCATTCCATCTTAAAAATGGAGGAAACAGCTATGATGGAAATTAGAGCCAGGCGTGACAGCGCATCTGTGTAATCCCAGCACTCAGGAGGCTGAGGCAGGAGGATCACGGCGAGTTCAATACCAGCCTGGGCTACAAAGTGAGCTCAAGTCCAGTCTGAACTGCATAGTGAGACCCTGTCTCAAAAAAAGACAAAAAAAAAAGAAAAGAAATTAGAAATAACATTTGCAAATTGCCCACCATTTAACATACAAGTGCTGTTGTATAATCTAAGAAATGTTATTAAAATATAGCCAGTTAATGGGGAAAGGGATTATCATTACTGAAGAGAAATTCTGCAAAAGAGAATAGAAGGACATTTCATATCCTTTTATCTTATTTATATATTTTTCCCAGCTTATCTAAAAAAAGATTTAAGGGGGTTGGGGCTTTCACTAAAGTTCCAAAGAGTGCTGGTAATTATACCCTCTGGCTCAAGTGCTTTGGCAGGCCTTGGTCTTCTCTCCTACAAATGGGAGTAATTCCTGCCTTCCTTCCACAAGGGTCCGAGTGATGACCTACTGACCCTGTCCTGGCCCCTGGAGTGGTGGAGGGCAGAGGCTCCTCCCTGGTTTCCTGCCTCAAATGCAAAGGAATATTTGTCAGGAGAACAGAAACTGGCTCTAGAGGCCAGAAATGCTTGGAGAACAGACTCAGCAGTCATCTGCCTTATGGGACCATCTAGAAGCTGCCACGAGAGGGTTCTCTGGGGATAAAATGAGTAACAAGAACAAGAGGGAAAGAGAAGCTAGAAAGGACCAAGTTGGAAGGGAAGAGGGAGAAAAGGTGGGTTTGGGAGACCATACCATCCTTCAGCTTCTCGTCCTGGGGGAACGGCCCATCTGGAAGCACATCAGCAGCAAGGAGCACTGTCCGGGAATCCTCCAGCACCTAAGAGGACCCCACATGAGGTCAGTGGCGTTGTAGGGTCCTTTACAACCTGGCTCCAGCCCTGTTTCCTTGAACCCCACTTCAATTCTTGTGCGTGCAGCTCTGTCCTCACTGAACACCACCCCTTTAGGGAACTCTTACTCATCTGTCATTGCCCAGATCAAAGACTAGGCTTACAGTGAGCTGCCTCCTGCCCCTACATACCTTAAAAAGGCCCTTGAGCATGACATCAAGGATCTTGTACTGTTGGTGGACATCATTTAGCTGTGCCAGGTTCTTCAGCGCTGACAGCTGCTCCCGCCGCTTCACCTCAAACATCTTCTTGTCTGGGCAGCACTGAGTTAAGGGACTGGGACCAACAACCCTGTCTGGATGTCCAGTGGCCCTGTTCTTGAGCATTAGGTTCTCTAAGAACTATGAATACCCATGACTTGGAAGCCGTGGGCTGGGAACAAACTGAGAAGTGTATAGACCCAGCAATGTATCATCCACCCAGTTTTCTGAGGACTCCACACCCAACAGCCTGAACCTAACCCTCTAGGACCTGGCTTCTGCCTTTTCTTGTGGCTTTCCTGCCCTCTCTGACAATTATTCATTGTTCTAGAACTCTACCACTCTGCTCATGGTACTGTCTCTGCCTGAGATGCCCTCCACCTTTCTCTAGATTCTGTTCTCTCAAGAACTGGCACAGGGTTTGCCCCATGCCTACCACATCCACGAGAGCAATGGTCACTGAGTACAATCACCATCTGTTTGAACTTTCTCCCCGAAGCCTGTGGCTGCTGCAAAACCACTGATCCTGACTCCTCTTTACGTCCAGAGGCCCAGCCCAGAACATCAGGGCCAAGATGAGCTAGCAAGCCAGTGTTCCTAAGTCTTGCCTGAGGACTTACCCAAAAGGTGCTAGAACCATGTACAGTCCTCACTGAGCCTTTGGAGCTCTGAGAGACGTGCTTGGCCTTCTCTACTTAATATATGGAGAAACAGGCTCAGAAGAGAACTGTCTTGCTCTAGGTCTGGCTTCCCTCCCTTGCTCTGCAAGCTGGGTCTGCTCCTTCTTGGAATCCCCTACGGGGAAGTGGATATAGAGAGAACTCATTTAATGGCCCCCTCAAAGACAGTGCCTGAATCCCAAAAGATACAAATCTCCAGGCTTGAGTCCCTCGGGGTGTCTGTGGTCCCTCTTCCCGACAGGAACAGGACAAAGAGGAAGGTCAGGAACTGAAGAAGGTCCATATCCAATCCCCTGGAGCTAAAGGGGTAACCCAAAGAAAAGGACTGAGAGACAGAGGTTGGTGTTATGTAAGACAGAATGCAGTGACCAGCAACTTCCTTGGGCATGGCACAGCCTCCAAATGCTAAGAACCCACTTTTGCGAAGCCCTAAAGATCCAGCCCCTGGTCCAGGGCTGTGACCAGCAGGCACACAACAAAGAGCAACAGGATGATGGTTGGATAGAGGCAAGAAGATAAATGTAAGCAATACAGGGATGCTTGGAGCACAGGAGTGGGGTCTAGGGGCCTAGATCAGAGCCCTGCACGACCCTGAACAAATTACATTTCCGCTCTAAGCCTCAGCTTCTTCAACTTCCTGCTCCAGGGAAGTGGTCTAGGGGAGGCACTGTCACCTAGGTGAGGCCTGGTCAATAGTACTCCCTTTTGATCCCCTCCCCTGGCCTCACAAGGTCAGGTGAAGGAGATGAGAGGGAATATGAAACTTCTGTAGTTTCCTTCCTCCCTGACTTGTCTTCAGAAAAAAGGGACACAGGGTGAGAGAGGGAGTACTGGGGTAAGATGGCCACTACATATTCATTTTAAAAATACAGGTACCGTTTGCAACCTGTTCCTATTCAGGTAAAATCCCACAAATTTTTTCCCCAATACTGGGGATTGAACCCAGGGTCTTTACACTGAAGTACATACCCAGTGCTGTTTTATTTTTAGAAAGGATCTCGCCAAGTCACTAAATTGCCCTGGCTGAGGTGGAACTGAGATGCTCCTGTTTCAGCCTTGCCGAGTTCTGGGATTACAGCCAATGCCCAGCCATCCCACAAGTACCAAATACCTACCACATTTTAGGCAACAGGACTACAGGAACAAAAAGGACAATCAAAAATCCCTGCACTCATGGTATTTATGTCCCTAGTAGAGGTAAGAGACAACAGACTGTAAAACAAGCACAGAAAGATGAGAGGGAGTCTGTCAGCTGCAACATTAAGTACGAGGACAAGGCAGGCTTTATAATCAGATGACGGCTACCCAATTTTATGAATGTGGAAATTATGGTATATAAAAGTGAGTGTCCAAAGTCATACAGCAATTCCCAGGCTGAACCAAACGTGTTTTGGACTCAGATCAGTGTTCTGTCTCCTGTCTCTTTTTTTACTCAGTAATGAGGATGGAACCCTGAGTCTGGAATGCCAAGCAAAGGTTCTACCACTTAGTTACATCCCTTCCCTTCTCCTCCCTTTCTAAATTAGCATTTGCCACCTCAGATCACAACTGGCCATTGATCTACCAGAACGTGTGACCGGGAGGAGCAGGAGAGGGATTGCTAGTTAGCGGCCCTCAGAGATCATCAGAACTCTCGCCCCACTCCCCGCAGATGGAACTGAATCCTACAGAAGGTATCCAAGTTCACCCAGAAGCCCTCCACCTTCCACCGTCACGCTCCAGACCCAAGGGAACCAGAATCAGGCCACAGCAAACCTTAGAGTACCAAGGAGGGTACCAAACAGCTGGCAACGATTGAAGCAGAGTAGAAGTGGGAAAGGAAGTCCCAAGAAGCAGACGCGGGGAGGGGGCGGAGCAACTCCGGCTTTCTCTACTGTTGCGTTTTTTGGCCACTCAATCGCGCGCCTTTCCCGTGAGTGTCGAGCTCTTCCCGGTGCCGCATGCAACTCTGAACCCATTCTGTAGAGGTGCCCTGCTGGCGAGGGTCGAGGGCCCAGGTCGAGCACCCTGGGGCCTCCAGGAGGAGGGAGGGAGACTTTACAAAAGAAAACAGGGTTCGGGTCCCGAAACTCCCTCCCCACACGCTGCACCAGTTACGGGGCCCTCGATACTCGCAGTCCCCTCCCCAGGAGCCTGCGGCCCGGCGGTCCCGCCATCACGTACCAGGACAGGTGGTGCGGAAGGGGCGGGCGGGTACCGCCTTGGCGCGCACCTTGACTCGAGGGGTCGACTACACTGCACCGAGGGGAACTCAACTCCAGAGCACCTGGCCAGCCGCGCTTAGAAACCGCGGAATGACACCCCGCCCACCGCCTCACTCTCGCCCAATAAGTGCGGGCCGCGACCTCCGCTGCCCGCTGACGTCACTTCCGGCCACGCCCCTCCGTCCTGCCCCAGCCTCCAGACTTAGTCCGGTAGCGGTTGCTGTCAGCTTGAACTCTGTCCGCCCCCAGCAGCGTCCTGCTCATCCTGAGAAGCGGCTCCCTCGGGGGCCTTGCGGTGTGGTTCTGGGTAAGGTTGGCTTGGAGGAAGTTAAACTGCCAGTGGGGCCTATGCCCATTTTAAAGTGCGTGTCAGCAAGCTGGGGTCCTATCCCCAGCCCACCGGACCTTCCACGAGCTCACCCCGAAACCGTACGTCATCCACGAAACTGCAGTTCACAGCATGAGTTTATTGAGTAATGATTAGCTCCTTTTACTGTTTTAAAAAGGAACTAGCAGAGCCTGCGTACAGAGTATGGGCATCACCTCCGGTCCACCAACTTCTAAACCAAGTTCTTGGTCCACTGGTTAGGAAGGGCTTCAGCGCCAGTTTTGCACGGAATCAGGACAGCCAGACCCCAGGAGGAAGGGTGGCCCTTGACAGGTGCAAGAGCTGGCACAGTTGTGGAATGCAGCGTGAGGGCCAGCTCCAAGCACAGACAGAGATTAAACAGGAACTGCCCATGCGGGCATAGAAACACGAGCTGTCAGAAACCAGGTGTGGTGGCACATGACTATAATCCCAGCACTCTGGGAGGGTGAGACAGGAGGATTTCAAGCTCTACTCCAGACAAAGTAATTTAGTGACTTTGTGAGATCCTGTTTCAAAATTTAAAAAAATAAAATAAAAGAAGGGCTAGGGATATAGCTCAGTGCAAAGACCCTGGGTTCAACCCCCAGTACCAAAGAGAGGAAGAACAAAACAAAACAAACAAGAAAGGGGAGGATCTAGTTTAGATAGTAAGGGTTCAGACTAGGGCAGATTCGATTATCAAGGAAGGCTGAGAAGGCTTTGACCTTTTTTTCCCTGGGAATTATACCTCTCCCCAGTTCCACAGAAGGTGAAGTGACTCAGAGCACTTGTACTATAGCAGCCCGAACTTACTCAGCTATGGCCTGACCCATTTTCTCTGGGTACAGCTGAGGCAGCCAGCAGGCACTCCTTAGGTCTCACCACCTTAACAAACCTGTCCTTGCTCTCCCCAAGGAACCCATCCAGCTCTTGCTGGAACAATCCACTATCCCCCTGGCTGAAAAGCCAGCTCCCAGGAGACAAAATGAATTCAGACTGAACTGTTTGTATCATTTCAGTTTGCGATTCCATTTGTACTTTGGAATAAACGGCTCCAGAGGAATGGCTGTGATTGTCATCCTTTTCCCAGCAACTATGCCCTTTGTCTCCAGGTCTCATATCTCTTGGTTTCTAGGCCTTCAAGTCCTGAGGCTCAGTCTCTGATGTGGGACAGAGATACAGCCACCCCTCCCAGGCAGCTGGTAATGAGACATGAGAGGAAAACAGGAAAGAGGAGCAAACCATGATGGAATCACACTTCTGAGCCCCTCAAAAGCAAGAACCTCAGACAAGAGTAGAGACACTCCTAAAAATAGTGGCAGGGTTTCTAAACTTGCGACCTGAACACCTGGTGAGGCAGCTGCTCTGGAACAAGGAACTGTTCCATGGAAGGAGAAAAGAGAGCCCGGGAGGCAGTTGGTATGGGTGGGAAGCACCCACCCACACTCAGCGGTGTCTCTGGAGCACCCCAGAACTGCCAGGGGCCTCTGACTACTGCTATAGCTCCAGGCTTTCTAAAGGACTTGCCTGTCCGCAGCCCCTCCCACTTGGATGATCTTTCAGCCTCCCTGGCCTGGTTGACCTTACCCAGGCCAAAGTTCCTACATGCAAGAAAGGATACAGCATGTCCTGCAGGGGTGGCTCAGCTGAGGAGGTGCTGGAAAGGCCTTCCAAGGAGGCCTGCAGGGTCTGGATTGTACTGTGATCAGCCAGGAGGCCCATGTTCCGGACCTGAGGTGAGGAGGAGGAGGAAAGGCAGCTCCCTGCTAACTGCTCCCCAACCACTGCACTCCCAGCCATGCAACAGGTCCCACGCTCCACACCTTGAGGGCCAAGCCTCACAGGAGCCGTGTGGCACCCCCTTTCCACCCACCTGCAGGAAGAAGCTGCGCAAGGCCTGGAGTGTGGTAGATGAGAGGGTGGACAGGTCAGCCAAAGCCAAGTCTTGTAGAAGGTGACCAACTTCTTCACGGGAGAGGATGCTGCTGCTCCTATACTGCACAAACTGGCACAGGAAGAAAAGCTTCACATACCCAGTGACTTGGAGGAGATGCCATTTCCTGTGCCCTCTGTGCTCAGCACTGAGCTGGAAACACTGTTCTGAAGCCCACAGAACCCTGCTTTCAAACTCTGCATTGGTGAGCAGGGCGCGGGGATAAAGGTGTGTTCCCAGGCAGAGGAGCAAACATGACAGACTGAGACCCTCAGACGGCTACCCTAGTGACCTCTGGCCCCGGCCCCCTCCTTCTCCAGCCTTGTGCTACACACTCATGGCCAAATGAACTGTGCAGCTTCTGTAACCAACCACTGCGAGCTCTTGTTCTGCTCTTCTCCCTTCACGACCTGGAATAGGTTTCTTCTGTCTGCCTACTAATCTCACAGGCCTCAGCTAAAACATTACCTTCGCCGCATAGAAACACTCAACTCTTTTCTCTGTGTCCCCATGTCAACCACAGATTTATTTGTAGACCCACATCACTATCATTCATAGACTCACTGCTTTGATATTTATTCAGTGGGCACCACTATCTGCCAAAGACTGAGCATTTCCTTCACTCTACCACTCAAAACATCCTCGTTAACTGTTCATGTCTGTGTCTATCTCCTTCTCTAGCCTGCAGGACCCTTAGAGACACAGCATGTCTCATCACTATCTCTGTACCTAGCAGATCAGGCATGTGATGGCAGGCCCTGGTCAACATTTTGTGAAATAAAAGGTGTGGAGGTCTCCTGGGGTGAGGAGAGTGTATGTTCACAGGAATTCTCTGAGCAGGTGTCTTGTAGGGTGAAGGCCCACCCAGCCTCTCTACCTGCTTGGAGGATTGAAGCTACCTAAAGGTGTCCCCAGCCTCTTCAGCACCATCCAGCTCACACCCTTTAGACCATGGGACCATGCTTTTTACACCTACCAGGGTCATAAGCCTCAGTATCTCAGGTCTGAGGAAGGCACTGTCTCCAGCATCCAGGAGAGTAGACAGCAAAAACCGATGCCAGGGCTGCGAGGCCACGTGGAGTGCTGTAGGAAACACCAGTCCCCAGGTAGTTAATGCTGCTTTTCCAAGACATGGGGACATGGTTGAAGAGGATCAACTGCAGGGAGGGCGTTGGACAGGCTGATCCTAGGAGGCTTTTTCCTTCCCTGGGCTTCTCTCCATCTATGCTGATGGCTCAGTCAGACAATATATCCCAGCATGGAGGAAGGCAACAGAAAGGATTCTGCCATATAAGAGAATGTGACCATGTTTGATTAGGTCACCCGACCTCTCTGAACCTCAGCACCCTCATCTCAGTGTAGCAAAAAGAATTAAACAAGATGAGTCTAAACCACACAACAGGGGATGGAAGGAAATCTGGTATAGAGAGTGGCAGGGGCTGGGTCCCTCCATCTCCCCACGGGAATATCAGATTCCTACCGATGTCTGGGCTCCGAGCATGCAGAAAATCAAGCAAGGCCTCCAGGCAGCCTACGCAGGCCTGGGACAATAAAGGGTCCTTCTGCAAAACACACCCCCAAAACAAAAACAAAAATAGAAATTACTGTCAAGTTTTTCACCAATGGGTTTTGGTATTATCCAAGAACAAACACATTTGGTTTTATTTGGATTTCAGAATTTCAGATTTGGGATGTGCCCTCACAGATAATTAAGAGACACTTGTTGCTTTCATCTTTCTCACACACAGAGTGCAGTACTTATCCTGAGGAATCTATTTCAAGAGTGTTTTCTTTCAAAAAAGGAGATGGACCCCGGGTCCCACTGAGATTCAGATTACAGACCCTGAAACACTTTACAGCTTATCTAAACCAGGGTCTCAACCATTTTTTAAAAAAGCAGAACCTTTCATAAAACAAAATTTTATGCTCTAATAAGTACATGAAAAAATCTCATTATCATCAGTCATCAGGGAAATGTAAACTTAAAACTATGAGATACCACTGTATATTCAGCAATGGTGAAAATTAAAGACATGGAGGGGATGAAAATAATCAAAGTATGTTATATGCATGTAAGAATATGCCAAAATGAAACTGATTCATCTGCATAACCAATTTTTTTAAAATGTTGAAATCCCGGCATGGTGGCACAAATGTTGAAATCCTGGCACTCAGGAGGCTAAGGCAGGAGGATTCCTGGGAGTCTGAGGCCACCTGGGCTACAAAGTGAGAAAACAAAAACGCTGAAAATACCAACTGTTGGTAAGAATGTGGACAAACTGGAACTCTTATATATTGCTCATAGGATGGTAACAATCAGATGGTTTCTTTTTTTTTTGGTTTTTCTCCGGTACTGGGAACCGAACTCACGACCTTGCGCTTGCCAGGCAGGCGCTTTGCCGCTGAGCTAAATCCCCAGCCCAATCAGATGGTTTCTTGCCAGATATGGTAGCATACACTTGTAATCCCAGCACTGGAGAGGCTGTGGCAGGAAGATCACTATGAATTTGAGGTCAGCTTGGGCTACAAAGTGAGTTCAAAGCCAGCATGAACTGTATAGTGAGACCCTGCCTCAAAAAAAAGTTGGATATTTGGATGATTTCTTATAATGTTAAACATACACAAATCACAGATGGTAGGCAGAATTTTAAGAAGGTCCATGACCTTTGCTCCCAAAAGTTATCTCTGTGATTATGTTATTTGGAAATGGGGAAATTGTTTGGATGCGCCCCAACTAGTCACACAAGTCTTTTAGAAGCCCTTTTCTTTGGCTAACTAACAGAAGGACTAGAGAAATTTGAAGTGTGAGAAAGACTCGTGGTGCCAATTCTGGCTTGAAGGAGGGGCCATGGGAGACTCTGAGTGACTTTTTGTTAGAGACAAGGTTTGACTATGCAGTTTAGACTGGCCTTGAATTCACATGTAGCCCAAGCTGGCCTCAAAATCACTGTGATCCTCCTGCCTCCTGCCTTCCAAGTGCTAGGATTAGAGGCGAGCACCACCATGCCTGGTTTGAGTACCATTAAAGAGTTGTAGGAGGCTGCTGGGAAGAATCCACTTTCCCCAAAAAAGCAGCAAGCCTGACTAACACTTTTATTTCAGCCTTGTGAAATCCTAAATGGAGACCTGGCTGAGCCTATCCAAACTTCTGACCTATAGAATGGTAAGATAGCAAATGTATGTTGTTTAGGCCACTAAGTACTCCATGTGGTAACTAGCTACACAGCAATGAACTAACACACCATTTGACCCAGTAATCTCACTCTAGGCTATTACCCAAGAGAAATAAAAATAAGTATCTGTGTAAATATTTGCACATTAGTATTAAGAGCAACTTTACTCATAACAACCCCAAATCTGGAAACCTCAAATATCTATCAGTAGGTGAACAGAGAAACAAACTGTAGTACAGCCATATAAAGATTTACTATTTTAGGGCCGGGGATGTAGCTCACTAGCACAAGTGTCTGCCTGGCAAGTGCAAGGTCCTGAGTTCAATTCCCGGTACAAAAAAAACCAAAAAACAAAAAAAAAAAACCCAACCAACCATTTTACCACAAAAAGATGTAAGCCAGGCTTGGTGATGCACACCTATAATCCCAGCACTTCAGAAGGCAGAAAGATCACAAATTTGAGTCCAGCCTAGGCCATTTAGCAACTTAAGAAGACCCTGCCTAGGGAATCGCACCTGCCTGGCAAGCACAAGGTCCCAAATTCAATTCCCAGCACCACCCCCACATAAAAGAAGAGAAAAGAAGAAGACCTTGTCTCAAAAAAAAAAAAAAATTAAAAAAAAAACAAAAAATCAAAATAAAAAAAAAAAAAAAATTAAAAAGGGGCTCAGTGCAAAGGCCATGGATTCAATCCTCACTACTGTAAAAATAAAAAATTACTGAAACACACAACAATATGGTTCAATCTTAAAAATATTAAACTACATGAAAGAAGCTAAACACACAAGATCCCTTATGTGATTTAGTTTATATGAGATTCTGGAAGCAGGTACAGTATAATAACAGAAAGCAGACTGGTGTGTTTGTCAAGGACCAGGGATAGGGTGAGGGAGTTAAAAGAGAACAAGAGAAATTTCTGGGCTACTGGAAATGTTCTATTTTATGATTGTGAGAGTATCTGTCAAAACCCATCCAACTATCCAGTTAAAATTGATGAATTTTATCACATGTAAGTTACAGCCCAATAAAGCTAACTTTTGCTGGGAGTGGCAGTACACATTTGTAATCCCAGGATGCAGGAAGCTGAGGCAGGAGGACTGCCTTGAGTTCAAGGCCACCCTAAACTACAAAGTGAGATCCCGTTTCAAATGAATGAATGAATGAATGAATGCTGACTTTTAAAAAGGTAAAAACAAACTAACAAAAACCCTATGCTCTCCTCATGCTACCTTTGGGAGGCAGTACAGCCTAGTACAGCCTCGTAGCTAAACAGCAGTAAATAGGCTTGAGTCTTTCAGAATCCTCACTTAGTTTCTAACCATCTCTATGACCCTGGGTAACTTAACCTCGTTGAGTGGGGATAAAAAAGATTACCTAAAAAAAAAAAATATTATTTCAGTTGCTGAGAGGGTTACATAAGAAAATGGATATAGTGTTTAATAGGTGCTTGGCACAAAGTAAATAATGATGAATATCTTTGTGAAACACATAAAGGGAGAAACACTCTCCCTTTTTAAATAACCTCTGAATCTCCTCCAAAGAATTGCAAAGGCCTCCAAGGCACCTGGTGTGAAATGATTGAGGTAATCCACCCACCTCATTTTACAACCTGAGGCCCAGAGAGAAAATAGTTGATATGAAGACACCTGGGTGGCAGGTCTAGAGCCAAAACCAAGGTCTCCTGATTCCTGGACTGACACCTTTTCTTTTTTTTTCTAATCTAAAAATGATCTGTGTGTGTGTGTGTGTGTGTGTGTGTGTGTGTGTGTGTGTGTGTGTCTTTTGAGACAAGGTTTCACTATGCAGTTCAGGCTGGCCTTGAACTCACTTTTAGCCCAGGCTGGCTTCGGTCCAACTTGCAGCAAACCTACCTCAGCCTTCCAAGTACTGATATTACAGGTGAGAGCCACCATGCACAGCCAAAATGAACTTTAACAGTGGGTACTTCTAGCCTCTCCCACACACCAAGACCACAGAGCCATAGGCCAGGATGCCACAGCTTTCCTATCTGGTAAGGAGCTGCCCTATTGCCATTCTCTTACCTTGTGTCTCTACAACCAGCAAGGGCCCTGTGGACAGTGAGTGAGGAGCCAGAGTACTGAATACTGTATTAGGAAAACCAGGACTATTGCTCAAGTAACAACGGCTTCAGTTCACCTTTGGGGACACTGAAAGAACATGAATTTTATGGCACAAAAGACTTAGGTTTGAATCATAACCTAACTGTACTGCAGATACATTACTCATCAGCTCTGTTTGGCTCACACCTGTTATCCCGGTACTCTGGAAAGGGAGACCATGTCTCAAAAAAACTTAAAAAGGGCTGGAGATGTAGCTCAATGCAAAGGCTCTAGGTTCAGTTTCTAATACCATAAGAAGAAAAAGCTGAAATGAAAGTTTCTACCTTATAGAGGAATCAGGATGAATAAATAATGTACAGTACATCAAATCCCTTGAACATGGTAAACACTCAGGACATGTCCTCTCCCTATCCTCCCCACCTCCCATTCTCATAGAACCCTTCACCTGACGGCAGCAAAAAGCTTCAATCTGTAAAACTTATTAACTCCTTTGAATTCCAATCTGATAACAACATATTCCACTCCCATTCCAAGCAGAAAGCCAAATTTGAGAGGGAAGGATGTGTGTTTCTTTCCTGCTTAGGCCCATCTTTTTTCTTCCCCCAAACCCCTCAGGGAGGTAGCAACTGGATTTGAATCAGAGAAGTAAGCCTGAAAGAACCCCGCTATGATTTAAATGTGTCCTCCAAATTTTATGTGTTGGAAACTTAATTCCTAAAGAAACTTCTTTCATTTAGCTTACTTACTATATGTTAGTGGTAATTAAGAAATAGGGCTTGGAGAAAGTGATTAATGGGTTAGTGGATTATCACAGGTGTAGCTTTATGTCTCCCAAGATCTGTGAGCACTTGAATGGCTGGAATCATATCGCATTATTTCTGCGTCCTCGTGTGTTCATTCATTCACTCATTCAACAAACATTACTTGATGCCAGTTCTCTTCCAAACTCTGTTCTCTTATTAGGTATAAGAGAATCACTCCTTCCCCAACAAACATGTTCTGATGTTAAAGCAGTAACTTCAGCCCCTTTAGAAACATAGATAAAAGACCTTTCTTTCACTGGCTTTATCCAAGGGGAGATTTATCTAACAGATACTAGCTTAACACATATTTTATCATCAGTGCAAGATTAAGGTATTAATGATGATGTTCCCATGAACATAAACTCTTAGGATCATTATCAGCTTGCTAAGTAATATAGCATATTTTCCCCTGTAACCTCCTTGGTCTGCTTAGGGGAAAAAGTGGTTTAAAAGTCCATTCTAGATAGATACATGAAATAGATAAAATAAAATGTTAATGACAGAATTTAGGTGGTGGTTATTTGAGTGTTCATTGTAAAATTCTGTTACCTTTGCTGTTGTTTGAAACACACACACACACAGACCATTCTGACCCTAACCCCCAGTTACATTGTACTATAGTGCTGACCAGAAATAAAGCTGATGTTTTTGTTCTTATCTGATTTCTGAATTTTCAACTGGTTTTGAGCCCAAAAAAGGAAGGAGAAACAAAGATGAAACAGCCTACTCAGTCACTTCCTTGAAGATCTCACAGCCTAGTGGAGGAGACTGACCCACACAAATGGAAACATAAATCAGAAAGACCTGAATGGTATGACGTGATAAATATGTGATCCCAACCAAAGCCTTATGCATGGGTAGGTCATAGGACAAGATTCAGCAACCACCAGCCTAGCATGAGGCCAACTCCTAGGGCCTCCAGTAGTATTTACAGGCCCTAATACTGGGGTGAAAAGCTCAGTATGTAGTGGCTGGACAAACAACAATCTCCAAGAGTCCTCTGGTCTATAAAACATTAATCTGCCTGAGGTTAACACCTGTTTTGCTTTCCCAGGGTCCATTCCTCCTTCTGGTAGTAATTTCCCTTTGGAGAAGCATTCCCTTCTCAGGTTCAGTCTACATGAGTTGTGGAGAGCTGACCATACTCCCCAGCCTCCAGAAGGCACTGACCAAGGCCAAGCCAGTCAGAGCATCCCACGTTCCAGCCTCGGTGACTGGTGTATTACCCATGCCAGGAAAGACTCAATTCCAGAAAGGAATTGGGAAATTCCTTTCTCCTTTTCTCTGGGAAAGAGAAACTTTGTTTCTGCTAGGAGAATGTATAAGCCTGGAGCTGCTGCTGGTCATCCTACCATCGCATAAGGACAAAGCTGACGGAGTAATCACAGTCAAGAGACACAGAGCTCTAACAACATTGTTTGAGCTTCTAGGACCTACTTATACTGTAGGCAGTCGTGATCCTTGGATTTCTTACGAGCTAATTTGAGCTTTGTTTCTGTCAATGTGGCTTTTTTTTTTGTCTTTTTTTTTTCAAGACAGGGTTTTGCTATTCAGCTCAGGCTGACTTGAACTCACTTTGTACCCCAGGCTGGCCTCAAATTCACAGCAATCCTGCCTCAGCCTCCCAAGAGCTGGGATTACAGGCATATGCCACCATGCCCTGCCTTCAATGTGTCTTTAAAAGTCAACCAATCACTCCCTGGACCTGACGGGAATAACGTGCTCTTGACAGATGGTTACCACTTCCCATCGCTGTTGGAAGAAACAGTTCTCACCACTTGGGGCCCACTCGGCAAGGGTCTTCTTACCTGCACCAAGAGGTTCTGCAGCCCAACAACCAGGTGCAGCACTTGTGATGTTCCCAGTGGAGCTAGGATAGTGGAACTAGTCCCTGAGGGGACCAGGGCCACTAAGACAGAGGAGAAGCTTTGTTGAAGGGCTGTCCGCAGGAAGCATAAGATGGCAGCTGAAAGCAGGAGACTCCTCACACACAGTTCCCGCCTCCTTCCCCACCCCCCACCCATGTGCCATAGGACAGGAGACAATGCTAATGAGTTAACTATGGGGTGACTGTAGGCTGGACTGGGTGGGTGGTTCCATCTCAGAATTTAGGGGAGAAACTTTCTTTACTTGCTGCAAACTCCAGGGCCCACACCTGACAGCAGTGCAGCCCTTTTCTTCGGAAAGCTGAGGGTCTTCACTACTTGGTCCAGTTCCACGGACAGAGTCTGGTGAACCTGGCATGGCAAGGGTATGGGGATAAGCTCCACATTCTGGGACCCGGAACAGGGAACAGCCTGCCCCATATCTCTTCTACCCACTGCCTCGAACTCACACACTGCACCAAGGGGGGACAGAGCAGGCCAAAACTTCTCCCATCCTCAACTGCCTCTTCCAGCAGGAAGCTTCCCCCAGCCTCATCTGTGGCTCAGTCTCTGGCTCTACCCAGCATCCACCTAACTCAAAAGACCTGGAGTCAGGCAGGCCAAATCAAAACCCTCACTCTGCCACTTGCCAGCTGTGTGCCCTGGGCATGTCACTGCATCTCTCTTAGCCTGCATCCCTTTCTTCACTGTCAAATGAAGACAACGCCACCTGCTTCCACTCCTTCCACAGCTACTGTGAGGAACAGTTGATGAACAGTGTCAGTGAACATGCAACTAATGCCAAGCAGTGTCCAAGATGAGCAGCTATAGTAGGGGTGGTAGGAGCAAAGCTGTGTTTGGTCTACTCTCTTTAACTCTGTAGACTCTGTTCTCTATCACAGTCTGGCACAAAGAAGTTCCTTAGAAATCCCTGTTGGCTGCAACTTTTAAGCAGAAGAACCAATCTGTAAAAAGGAATAGCAATATCAGACTAATTTAAAATGTTCATAATAAAGAGTGGGGAGGCTATATGGGAACTCTAAATTACTGCCTCCATTTTTCTATAAATCTAAAATCATTCTGAAAATACAATCTATTGAAAATAAAAAACAAATAAAGTAAAATAAAATAAGGTATGGAGATGTGAAATAGCACAACCAACTGGGAAAAAGAGTAAATACTTGGCCAGGGGGCAGGGAAGGATAGTGGAGAGGAGATGGCAGGAGGTAGTATGCAGAAGGCCAGACACAGGAGGACAAAAAGGCTTCCCAGGAGTATGGAAGAAGTGTCATTTTCCATCTTCTGAGCCCAGGGCCTTTACTTTCCCCAAACTCTTTTGGCAGCCTTCTGGGCACCATGTGAGAATACTAGGAGGCTAGGGGATGTTTCTGTCTATGAGGAGCTGTGGGCCCTGAAAAGATGCCTGGCTGTGAAACAGCCCCCAGAGGAGCTCATGCAGCATAATGTGATGGCCAGGTCCTGCACGGGGAGGGGCTTGGAGGCAAGGAGGTGCTCTCTGGACAGTCCACTGCTTTTCTGTTCCCTGCATCAACCTTCAAACAGTAACAATGACAACTAACAACGTGTGGCTCTTCACAACTCGCTACCCAGCACTTCAAGGTCATCAGCTGCTCCTGCTTCCTGTCCAATATGACCCATTCCTTCATCTCTACACTCTAAGCACACAATTCACCTCACTACTCTCCAAATAGTGTGTAACCCATATCCTGATTTTTTTTTTCCTTTTGAGACAAGCTCTCACTATGTAGCCCAGGCTGGCCTTGAACTTGCTGAGATCCTCCTATCTCTGACTCCAAGTGCTAGGGTTATGGGCATGTGCCACCATGTCTGGCTCATGTCTTAAATTTGAGCAGCTCCATGCCTTTGCTCATATTGTGCTTGCTACTTAGAATCTTAGGCCACTAACTTTGCTGAGTACAAGCCTAGTTACTTTAAGGCTTTGTTTAAAGTTCCCTAGAGAGTAGGGCAAATGCTGTACTCATTTTTTATTCCACTCTGACAAAAACAGTCTGGCACATAGGTGATCCACATGTGTGGATTAACTTAAACCAACCTAATAACACCCTGGGATTTTTTCCCACTTTGTAGGTAATGAGACTAAAATTCTGAGATAGTTAAATACCTTGGTGAGGCCATATAGCTAGTAAGCTACAGTGCTGAGGCCAGAACTCAAGATTTCCATTACTTCTTTGAGTTTCATCCCATCCCTCAAAGTCATGCAGCTAGAGACTAACCTGTAAGCCACCTTCATGCTGCTGGGAAGACAGGGAGGCGGTGAGCAGCCAGGCAGAGCAGAGCAATGCACTCCTGGGAGAGCCTCCCTCTGTCCAGGCAGGAGAGCCTGTGTCTGCCCAGGTGAGCACCAGTGTCTTCTCCAGAAGCTCTATCAGGGTTGTGTTGCTTATGAGCACTGCAGCAGCTGCCGAGAAGGGACAGGGCAGAAGCCACATAGTTACACAGGTGCTCTAGCTTAGTGCCTCCATGGTGCTCAGGGCCCGGTGGAGCTTCACATATGTAAAAACAAACAAAAGGATCAGCCTGTAGTCTGAAGGCTCCCAGAATCATTGCAGAAAAGATCCACGACCACACACATCCCCCAAGTTATTTGTTTAGATGAAAAAATTGAGGGCAGTGAGGCCCACTAATGCTGTCCAGGACTCTTCCTCTTCACTGTCCTGGCCTCAGCCACACACCTCTTTTCTGACTGTTGGGTGTAGTCTGATGAAGGCTCCAGTACAGGAAGTTGAAGGAGGGCTGCAGGATGTCCACATCCACAGGACTGCATTTCCCACACAGCTTGCTTACTGCAAGAGATGAGAGTCCCCAGGTGGCATAATGCACAGCACCCCACAGTCTTAACGCAGTCACACTTCTCACAGATGATGGCACACAACTGGTTACTTTCAGATTTCTGTCTTAGGGAGAAAGCACACACTGAGCATCCCTGACATTACAGCCAGTGGAAAAAAACAGTGAAACCTGAAGGTATGTTCACCTCCTCTTAGTTACTTTTCTCTCATTGCTGCGACAAAATATCAGACACCCAAAGTTAAAGGAGGAAAGGTTTATTTAGTGCAGTTTGTAGAGGTTTCAGTCCATAATTGGCTGGCTCCAAGGTAGGATGGCATGACAGGCATCACAGAGGAAAAGCAGTTCATTGTGGGCAGAAGGTAGCAAAGCAAGCAAGTTACAAACTACAAGTCTCTAGCAGCAAGCCTCTTTCTGTCCCTTATATTGTATCCAGGCTAGCCAGCCTTACAGCAGACAGCACTCAGACCCTTAATCCTACATTTCAGCATGAATCAATCATACACTCTACATCCAGTCACCCTTGAAAAAGTTCTACCTATGCCTGCATGAGGCTTTGGGGGGACATCTTTGCACAAGCCATAACATCCTCCATCTGGACAAATACTGGATAAGGTGTCCATGGCTGCACATTAGCCAGCACACACTGTACGGGCTGAGCTAACCAGGGGCATCCTCTACATATGTGTATTCCATCAGATTCCAGGAAACAAGGGTCTACAGAGCCAGTCTTCCACCTTAGCAGGAGTCCTTGCTCCCTAAGACCATCTAGCCTCACCTCCCAGTTTTCTAGCAATGGAGCAGTCAGTGCCTTTCCAAGGAAAAGGCATAATCATGTGCAGTTCCCTGTACTTGCCATATTTTCTCTCACACATCACCTCCCTCTGGCTAACTCCAACTCCTAGTCAGCAATCAAGATGCAGCTTTAAATTGACTCCCCTATGAAGCTTCTCATCACCCTCAAGGCAAAATAAGATGCCTCTTCTGCACTTCCCAGCCCTCAACAGAGCAGTTACTACACTGAAGAGTAGTCATCTGTAGAACACTTCCCTCCTAGGAATTACCACTCCCCATCTCCCTAATCCCATCCCACTGTGAAACCTACTTAAGTCTCTGTTCACCTTTTGGCAGCCACATCACACTCTGGCTTCCCACTAGCTGTGGTCAATCTGAGAAGCAGGTCCCCTCACCCTAGCACCCTCTCTCCTGATCATGAACCACAGTGAACTGCAGACCTCTCCTCCCAGCACTCTAAAGCAGAAGTACTCAAAGAGTACATGTGAATGTCTATTCTATTTCACACAAAGATTTCAGCCTGTAACTCCTTGTCAGAGGCCCTTTTAAAGGCTGATTTTTGTCACATATAGATCAACTTGATGCCAGCTCTGGTCTGATAGGCAGGCAGTGTTGACCAGCATCAGGCAGAGGCAAGGGGCTGCAGCTACCCTCAGAGGCGCTTTCTGAGCCTGACACCAATCTCTTGATAAAGACTGGACCCTGAGCAGGGAAGGCACCCTGTCCTTATCTGTGGCCAGGGGACCTGAGTCTACAGACACTGAAGTTATAATTTTTCCTACTTATTTTAACCTTTCCTCAATGATTCTTCATGTGTAGGGAGCTGTGTATGAAGTAGTGATTACATTCCTGATTAAAGGCAGGTCCCACTGAGGTCTGGCGTATAGGTAAGAAAAACACCTAGACAACTGTAAGTTGGATCGTCAGAGCTGAGCTGGGCCATTTGCTGTGGGATGAGGTAGGGAGCTGACCTGAGCCTCAAAACATGAATCGACACAGTCAAGGCCTGCTGTGTGCCAAGCACTGTGTAGCATCCTATACCTACGAGATCAGGTATTCCTATCTTAGTCCTGTTAACAGAAAAGCAATATTACCTTAGGTAGGAGGGGCGTAGGTTTGGTACAGGCAAGGTGACTGCCCAACCTCACACAGCTAGTGACTAAGATGAGACCCAGGCCCTTCATGACCCTAGGGTTTGTGCCCATCACACACTGATTTTTTCTTTCGTAAGGGGAAGATCTCCCAAACACTTCCTGAGAACAAGCAGAAAAGCCCGAAGAGGTATCTCAGTAAGAAGCTCCCAGGGATGGACAGACCTACTAGCTTCTTCCAAAAGGACAGAAGAACAGAAGAAGAAACAAATACCAGTACTACTGAGTGGGTCCATTGCACATGCAGCCCTGGGCCCTCAGACACCATCCCAAACAGCCCAGGCACCTTGGTGAAGGAGCTTCATGGCCATGCTGTCCAGTTCTTGCTCAGACTTGTTCCTCAGCTGCACCAAGGAGAGGAGGCTCAGGAGCAGTGCCAGGTTCCCTGAGGCTGTGAAGAACAGGGAGAGGTGGTCAGAGAGCCTGAGCTCAGATCACCTGAAGGTCAAACACTCCTTCCCACCATAAGAAAGGGAGCACCTGAGCTCTATATCACCAATGAGGTCAGGTGGTTGTCTGGAATTTCCCGCTCCCCAGTCCCTGCTTTCTTCCTTCTTCACAAGGGGCAACAATGGATGATGATACACCAAGTGCTGAGTCTGAGTTGGTACCAGGAGTTCATTATCTCACTTAATTCCATTAAAAAACCACATGAAGCAGAGGTTCTTATATCTATTTTTCAGTTAAGAAATTGAAGTTTGAGGAACTATCACAAAGGATCAACAACTGAGATCTCATCTTATTAAAAAGCATTTGGACAGCAAAAGAAATCACCAACAGAGTGAAAAGACAACTCACAGAGTGGGAAAAAATTTTTGCCAGCTGTTTCTCAGACAAAGGACTACTACCTAGAATATATAAAGAATTGAAAAAAAAAACCCCAAATTTAAAGACCCAATCCAAAAACGGGCATCTGAGATGAACACACACTTCTCAGATAAAGAGGTACAAACAGCAAATAAATATATGAAAAATGTTCACCACCACTGGTCATTCCAGACATGAAAGTTAAAACAATACTGAGATTCCATCTCACTCCAGAAAGAATGGCTATTATCAAGAAATTAACCAATAACAAATGCTGGCAGAGCTGTACAGAAAAAGCAACCTTTCTCCACTGTGGGTGGGAGTATAGACTGGTGCAACCATTGTGGAAATCAGTGTGAAGATTCCTCAAAAATTTAGGAGGGGGGGCTGGGGATTTAGCTCAGCAGCAAAGCGCCTGCCTGGCAAGCGCAAGGTTGTGAGTTCGGTTCCTGGTACCGGAGAAAAACAAAAACAAAAACAAAAAAAATTTAGGATGAACCCAGGTATGGTGGCTCACGCCTGTAATCCCAGCACTCAGGAGGCTGAGGCAGGAGGATCGCTGAGTTTGAGTCGAGCCTCAGCTACAAAGTGAGTTCAAGGCCAGCCTGACAAGTATAGCAAAACCTTGTCTCAAAAAGACAAGAATAAAAAAAAACCTGGGACAAGAGGTCCCATTTGACCCAGCTATTCTCTTCTTGGTATCTTCCCCAAAAAGATTTAAATGCACCACAGCACATCAATGTATGCACACCCATGTTTATAGCAACACGGTTTGTAGTAGCTAAATCTTGTAAACAATCCAAATGCCCATCAATCAATCAATGAATAAAAATGATGTGGTTTTATTATACAATGGAGTACTACTCAGCTATAACGAAAGATAAACTTGAGACATTCCTAGGTAAATGGATGTACCTTGAGACCATACTGTTAAGTGAAATAAATCACACATACATTTGGAAAAGGAGAAATCAAGGCACATAGTGGCTGAGTAAGTTCTCTCCAGTGTCCAAGAACTAGTAAAGGACAGGGTGCTATAGTCTGAAGGTTTGTGACCCCCAAAGTTCATGTTGAAATCTTAACAGATGAGTCCCCTTCTAGATGGGGTTAGTGCCCTTATAAAGTAGGAGCTCCCAAGAGCTCCTTCCCTCATCCCTTTTGCCATATAAATACACAGTAGAAAGACATCTATTAACCAGGCAGTGAACTCTCAACAGAACCAGGCAGTGAACCCTTAACAGACATAGAATCTGCTGGTATCTTACTTTTAGATTAACCAGCCTCAAGAACTCTGAGAAATAAATTTCTGTTGTTTATAAGACACCCACTCTGTGACATTCTGTTGTAACAGCTGTAATAGACCAAAACACAAGGCCAAGACTTGAATCCAATCTGAATCCAATACCCATGGCCTTTCCTTCATGTTTTTGCACTACATCTCATGGCTCATAGACAGGATTACCAATGAGAAATGTCTTGCTCCTCCCTGCAAAGGAGAGGACTCAGTGCCTTCAGCTGCCCTTTAATCTACCTGAAAATCCCAGGGCTTAGTCAGGACTGGACCAAATGAATCACAGATATCTTCCCACTTTCTCTTAGTGGGTCAGAAACTTAGTTTAAAATTTTCAGCCTCTCTAAAAATAGGAAAAGACAAACCAATCCCAATTTTCATTCTCTTCATACTGTTCCAAACAGTAAGTTTCCTTGACTCCAGGGGTCCCATGCCAGATTTGGAAATTATCCTCTTGGATCTTACTGGAAATGCCTAATACATCACAGATGCACCCTCCTCCCAGGACCCTGCTGGTTCTCTAGCCTCCTCCAGATTTCCCACTTGCTTCTTCTCACTGGGGGCTGCCATTTTTGTGACAAAGAGCTCTGAGCACATGCTGTGCAGGGTGGGGACATGCACACATACATCAAACACTCCCACTCATCTTAAACACACAAACACAACCAACCATGTTATGGTACACTGGCCTAACTTTTCTTTTCAGCAAAAATCCTGATTTCTTCTTGAGAGCACACCTCACCAGGACAGAGTTACCTACTCTTGACTGGCCTCCAGGTCAAAACATGTCCAAGGGACCTGTAGACTAACCTCCTGACAGGGAGGTCCCATGCTCTACCAGCAGGTGCTGCAGGATGAGCAGGAAGTGGCCTCGGATGAGACCACCCACTTGGATATCCTCATTTCTCCTCAAGAAGGTCCTCAGGATGACCAGTACCTTGTGGGCTACATCCACTGGACTGGAATAGACGAGATCCTGAGCAGGAGAGAAGAAAGCCAGAGTTCAGACGTTATCACAGCAAGGGACTGTAGACACGGAAGACAGAGAGGCAGGGAAAGTGTCCAAGATGATGGTGTCACAGAAACTGGGTAACCCAGCACCTGCCTGGAAAGCTACAAAGTCCTGAGTTTGATTCCCAGTACAAAAAAAAAAAAAAAGAAGAAGAAGAAGAAACTGGCTAAGCTCTCTCTTAGCACCTATCCTGTATCAAAAGCTCTCCTGGAAACAATGACTTCTCACATCAGCCCGAAGAACAGCTCATCCTACTACGTCCACTTTACACAAGAGCAAGTGGAGCTTCAGAAATACAACTTGATTTGTCCAAGGTCACATTAGCTGTAAACAACATAAAGAGGAAGTGAATGTAGGTCTTCTGACTCCAAGTATAACTCTGCTTTCCAGTATGCCTCCCTCTTGCAAATGGAAGTATTAGGGTCAGAAAGAGCCCTTGTTTTCAGGATAGGGAACTACAGTGTACCTTGAGGGAAGAGAGAAGGAGCAAGAATGAGGATGAAACAGGCCATGGAAAGGAGGGGCTGGGAAAGATTCAGGGCATAGGCAAGGAAATAAGGACCAGGTCAGGCTCATTCTCTGCCACGGCATCTGCCTATCCCTGCCTCAAACTAGAAAGGCCTTGGACTCAGACAATGGAAAAGGACACTGCTTTTTGTCTTGCTTTCAGAGTAATTTTAATGAGTGTATTTTAAAGGTAAAGCCAGTAAGAAGTTGCATCAGTGACTGTCTTGCCTATAGCTCCTGGCATCTACCAGCTCAAATAAGCCAAATCCTTTGGACAGGATAATGTACTTGGTCAGTTAGGACTGGGTGCTATGAATCCAAGGTCATGCACAGACTCTCTCCAGGGAGGACAGCTACTGACACAGATAGACATGGCTATAAGGGTACCCGGCCAGGCAAATCTTGGTGTGCTGACCACTAGGTGGACAGGGAAGGATGGGGACACAAGGGAGTCTGGGCTTGGGTCTTCACAAACCTCCACAGCTGCTGAAGAAATAACAAAATCCACAAACACTCACTTGGTTGTTAATGTCTCACTTGGTTAATAGCATCAGGTACTGTTTTATTATTTACATAAACATTTACATTTCTTTACATATGATTTGCATCTTCACAATGACTTCTCCAGTTAGGTCTCACCCTAATTTTTTAAATGAGGAAATTGGGGCAGATTAATTAGTATGTTTCTCAAGAGAGTAGTAGAGATCTGCTTTATCTTTGTTATCTTGTAGTAACTCAGAAAACATCTCTGAAAAGAAGAAAAGATCTCTAAGATCACAAAATTGAAGGGCTAGAGAAAATCTGGATCATCTCACCCAACTTTCAGAGATTGAGGTTGAAGACTGAGGGGGGGGTGATTTGTTCAAGGTCATGAGGCCCCACGCCACACCAGTTTCCTGTTCCCTCTGCTTCACAGGTCCATCTATGTCACACTGTCACAGAGTTGGTCATTTAGAAATCTGTGTTAATGAATCTTTTTTTTTTTTTTTTTTTTTTAAGGATAAAAGGAGGGAAACATTAACAGACATACAACATTTTACAACATATCACAAGCACAATACAGACAATACAGAGTTCCAAACAAAGTGGTAGGGAATTAACAATGGTGGTTGTATTACATATTGATATCTTCAAAGTGGCTTCTCATGAAAACAGATATAGACATGCAATACTGGTCAACCAAAGACTCATTGACAGTTTCTTTCAGCATAGAAACAGCAGATAGAAGAACAACCATGTTATCTATCCTGTATATACATACATACAAAATTTCTCCTTCTTTCCCTTCTCTTTTCCCACATCCCAGAAGCCCTTTACTCTTCGGTGGTTTCCTATCATTTCACAGTGTCTATCATACCTCCGAGTTTAACTTAACTCTTTCAAGTTTTACACTAGTGACACAATGCGGTGCTTGCACATGTATGTTTGATTTATTTCACTTATGAGTATGGTCTCTAGTTGTGTTAAAGAATCTTAAAAGCCACCTTGTGGCCACAGTGAGTCCTGGAGGAAGGTGTGCATCCCAGGATGTTGGGCAGTGGGAAGGGGCTGTTGAAACTAGTGCAGTTTCTGCTGCCCACGGCTATCCAGAACTCTCTTGGAACCAGACCTATCAGGGTGGCTTGATCAAGCAAAGAACAAACGGAGCTTCTGTGACATCACTGTTTTTCACATCTAAACAACCTACATGAAAGACCACCCACTGATAAGAGCAACAATTAACAGCTTTGTTTTCAGCTGTTAATTACCCTTATCAAGAACAGAAATTGGTACCGGCACATATTTTTAGATCTTTTCCCCTCCTGTGGCTAGAAGCTGTGGAGAAATGGTAAGAATTACATATCTGAACAAACAACAAGGTTGCTGTTCTTTTTTAACCACTGATTTTTTTTGCACTGATTTAGTGAAAACTCATTAGCTTGGGTTACAGTCATGGTCATGACTCTTATTAGCTATACAACGTTGTGTGATTCCATTAGCCTCTCTGAGATGAACATTCTTTATCTGGTTCAGACTCAGAGTCAATAATTAGTTTCAGCCTCCTGTGTACTGTAACAGTAGGCCATGATCACACCTACATGTTCCCTCTTCCATCTTCATGGTATCTCCATTTTATGTGAGGAAACTGAAGGTCAGAGAAGCCTCAGTCTTCCTAGACTTATAACTAGCATCCAGTCATAAAGGTAGCTCCCTCCTTTTAAATTCTTGCCTAGGGGAAGAATCTCCTCTCTGCCTGTCCCCACCTCCTCCAGGAAGGAGAGATGAAGAAGATGGAACACATTTCTCTGTTTCCTGGATGCAATGTGGTCAGCAGCCTTCTTTTGCCATGCCTTTCCATCACACCATTTCAGCCTTGCAGTCAGCTTCCCATGGGTTGAATCCACCAAAACCATGAGCCAAATGATACCTCTCCTCTTTTAATTGTGGAGTTTTTGGTATTTTGTTCCATCAATGGGAAATTGATTAATACATCTAATAGCTATGTCCACTGCTACTCTTTTTGGTGTCCCAATTTGCTCTCATCCTCTCTATATTAATGCTCTATTTTGAACTCATTCCATTTCCTTTTTTCCTTCTTGAAGAAAGGATTTGAATGTTTACCCTATGACTGTAAACAATATGGTAAGGCCTTCTCTTTTTCTACTTACCTCTGAATGCATGTAAGAACTCACACTGTAGAGAAACCCTATGAATATAAATAATGTGATAAGGCCTTTGCTTTTTCTGTTGCCCTCTGAGTACATGGAAGAAGTCATACTGCTGGACATGGTGGTGTACACTTATAATCTCAGCACTCAGAAGGCTGAGGCAGGAAGATCATTGTGAGTTCAGGACTAGCCTGGGATACAATGTGAGCTCAAGGCCAGCCTGAACTGCATAGCAAGACCCTGTCTCAAAAAGACCAAAAAAAGCATCACACTGCACAAAATCTTATAAATCCAAACAGTGTGGAAAAGCCATCACTTCTAGTGCTCTCCTAGTGTATGAAAAAACTCACATTGGACAGAAATCCAATGAATATAAACAATATGGAAAGGCATTTGCTTCTTCCTGTACTTTTTTCCCTCAAGTGCATGCAGAAACACACCAAACAGCCAGGGATATAGCTCAGCAGCACAGCATCTGCCTGGCAAGCTCAAGGTCCTGAGTTTGATTCCTGATACCAAAAAAACTCACACTGGACAGAAACCTTATGAATATAAACAATGTGTTAAGGTCATCATTTGTTCCAGTACCAATGAATGCATGAAAAAAGTTACATTGGATAGAAACTCTATGAATGCAAATAGTGTGTTAAGATCGTTGCTTCTTTTTATACCCCAATACATGAAAGAACTCATACTGGTCAGAAACCCTATAAATGTAAACAATGTGGAAAGGCCTCTGCTCATTCCACTTCCCTCTGAGTATATGAAATAACTGACACTGGACAGAAATATGTTATGAATGTAAAGAAGGTAGTAAGGCCTATGCTTACTGCAGTGCCCCCATGAGCATGAAAGAACTCACACTAGGAGAAACCTGAGTCCAAATGATGTAAAACCTTCACTTATGAGTATGGTTTTCAATGGCTTAATTCACAGTAAGGTAAAATCCTGTGAAGGCAGATAACATGATAAGGCCTCAGTTGAAGCAGTTAAGATTTGGCAACATGGACCAAATCACTGGAGAGAAAATCCCTACTTGTGAACACTATGGTAGTGACTTGAGGTATTGTGATGGTATTATTTTATTCATTTTTTAAAAATTTGAGGCAGTCTTGCTACTTTGCCCTGACTGAACTCAAGACTTGCAAAGCTCCTGCTTCAGACTTCCAGCATCCTAGGATTACAGGTATATGCCACCATGGCCAGTTGCAGTTTTTAAAATGTAAGCAACATGGGAAAGACTTTATCACCCACATCCTTAGAGGAGGAAGTGGGATTGCCCACTGAATGTAACTGCAAGCATGTGAAATACAGTTGAAAGTTTCAATTTGAATGAATACCTTTTAGTCATCTGAGTGCAATTCAATGAAAGTATAATAAATGAAAGCTAAATGCAAGTCATTTCACAAATAGCACTGCAGAAAATTACCTACATAAACTAGGACTTTAAAGGCTTTAAAAATATCATTTTAAGCAGGGCATAGTGGTGCATGCCTATAATCCCAGCACTTGGGGGGCTGAGATGGAAGATCATTGCAAGTTCGGGACCAGCCAGGGCTACAAAATGAGCTCAAGGCCAGCCTGAACTGCATAGTGAAACCCTGTCTCAAAAAGACAAAAAATAAATAAAAATAAATATAGAATAAAAACATCATTTTATTTGGGAAAAAATAAAGTATGAACACAGATGAGTGTGGTGGGCATATCTGCAATCCCAGCACTCTGAGAGGTTGGTACAGGAGAAATGCAAGTTCAAGTCCACCCTGAGCAACTTTGTGACTTATCAAGACCCTGTCTCAAAATAAAAATATGAACAGGGGTGAGAATGTAACTCAGCGCAAAGACCCTGGATTCAGTCCCCAGTATTGTAATAAATAAATGAATAAACCATGAACATGGGCCCTATCAATTCAACATGTGTGACCTCACAAGATAACATATCTCAGGAATGGAAGGCTAAGATTTTGGCTTGAGTGGAGAACATGTACATGTGTTTGTGTTTATGCATGTGAATATGGACAAATATGGGTAACTAAGGATGTGGGGCAAGAACATACAGATCTTATTGCTACTAACATTACTTCAATAAAGTGAAAAGATCATACTTTTGATAATTAAAGCATCAAAGATCCCCGCCCTTCTCTGATAGGCTGTGTTATCCACCCTGGACTGAGGATATTGAGTGAGTTAACTGGCATTAAAGGCAGTGTGTGTCATACTTCGGTGTCCTGGAATCAGTTTGGAACCTGCTACTAGCAATCTATGGCTAAACACAAAGTTTGAAATGTAAAAACAATTTTTAAAAGATATAGATAGATAGATAGATAGATAGATAGATAGATAGACTGATGGTTTCTGGGGGCTGGGGATGAGCTGAGATTATATTGGGTGATGACAATGTTCTGAGATGTTGAGACTGATTATGATAATGGTTATATTATAGCTTGTTAAATTTATGAAAATCATTTAATTATTCAGTCAAATGGATATATTTTGTGATATAGGAAATATATTTCAATAAAAAATATATACAGATATATCCATAGTTACCTCTATAATACTGTCACTCTCACTTATTTGTTTTCCAATGTGGTTTCTTGAGTGGAAGGAAAAAGGGTGGAGTTAAAGCCAGGGTGTTAGAAGTGGCAGACAAAAGGCAGTTGATCTTTCCTAACTGATGTACCTGAAGAAGTACTGGGCTTTCTGACAACTCTAGGTATGCCTGAAGGAGTATGTTACACAAGTACTAAAATCATGGAAAAAAACTGACTATGCAATCAGATATTTCCAAATACATGCCTTAGGGTCTCCTTTGACATTAACCATTCTTACCAGTATCTGCTTGAAAGAGAGGACAGAGAGGTGAAGGGAATGATGACTGAGGCCCATACTTTATAGTTATATCCCATGGGGAGTAGACAGGAAGATATCTCTTAGCATGTAAACCTCCATCAGACTTATGAAAGGGTATGATTTTACAGAAACCAGGTATCTACAAGCATAAAAGACTTTCCACTCACATAGAGACAGCAATAAGTCCAGTGCTGGGCAGAAGCAATGGTGGTGTTTGCCAACCTCAGTAAACTGACTGCCAGAGGCAGAAGGTCTGCCATCTCTGAATGAAAAAATGAATGAGAACCTACCAGCAAAATAAGCAGGACGCTAGGGCTGCTTCTGAGAATCTGGAACAAGGCTGCTAAGCTGGTAGGAAGGTTCAACTGTCTAGCAGAAAGGACTTCATCCAGTTCTTCATAGCTGCTGTGTTCCCAGGAGAACCAAAGTTCCAGGACACGATGCCCAAACCTACTCATCAGTTCTGGATACAACAGGAAGAACCTGAGCAGGAGAGGATGGTGGGTGTAGACCAGGTGCAGGTCTGAGATGCCCTCTAGGAATTTTCTGATTGCACTGACCACAGCCTAGAACAAAACAAAGAAAGGAGCTAACTACAATCTTGCAGAGAACCTAAGACTCCAAAGCAGCCTATTTATGACTTGGAAAAATGTGTTGGCATCTCAGTGCTCCAAGATGCCTTCCCTAGCTCATCCCAAATGCGCACCTTATAACATGAGTTCTCCACTAAAGTGATTGTGCTCCCCATAGAATACAGTGGACCTTCAAGTTATGACTGGCCTGACATACAAACAACTTGGGTTATGACCAGAATTTTAGTTTTAACTTATGACCAAAGTCTTGAGTTATGCCCTAAATGCTGGCCACTCATACTTCCAGATGGTCTCAGATACAAATTTAACCCTTAAAGAGCTCTGCAAGAAACATTAAAGCATCCTTTCTTGTACAAGGTTAATTGAGAAATCCTGGGCCAATGTCTCTCTAAGGACACTGAAATCTGCCTCTATACAGGAGAGAGACTTTGAAGGCTGTGTAAAGAAGCCTGAGCCTTCAACTGACAACGTGAGTTACAACCAGCCCTCAGGAACAAAATGAGTTTATAAGTCAAGGCTCCACTATATCTGGTAGTCTGGAGACAAAATCACCTTGATTCAGGGAGTGCTACTAGTATCCAGTGACAAGAGAGGATGCTACAATATCCTACACTGCTTCCTCAGAAAAAAATAATCCAGTGTAAAATGTTCATAGTGCTGAGGCTGGTAAATCCAGCTTTATGGTACACTTACTACAATGTGTTGTAATTGTCACGGTGCCTGTCAGTCTCCCACACTAGACTGAAGGCAGCTTGAAGGCGGGTGTACCCAGCATAGGTCCTGGCATAGAAGGGGTAAAGTGGAAGGGGAGGAATCATTTATCAACCCTTATAAACCTATCTCTTCCCATTATATATATAACAACACTCGAATTCTTTAATATACTACTCTAAGAGTTTTATAATTTTTGCTTTTTAATTTAGATCTTTGATCCATTTAGAGTAAATTTTGTGTGTAAGAAGTATGAGTACAACTTCATTCTTTTGCATGCGCAATTTCCAGTTGTCCCTGATGAAGTCAAATGACAATAAACCAAGTTGATCCTGAATTCTCAATTCTGTTTCATTGAACTATATTTCCATCTTTACAACAGTGACATACTTTTTTGTGGGGGGGACTGGGGATTGAACCCAGAGCCTTTGAACTGAGTTTTTTGTTGTTGTTGGTTTTTTGGGGGTTTTTTTTTGGTCTTTTTGAGACAGGGTCTCGCTGTGCAGTTCAGGCTGCCCTCCCAACTTGCAACAATCCTCCTGCCTCAGCCTCCAGAGTGCTGGGATTACAGGTGTGTACCACCATGCCTAGCTTTGCACTAAGCTTTATCCCCAGCTCCTTCTTTATTTTGAAACAGGGTCTTGATAAGTGCTAGGTTGTCAGGCTGGGCTCAAACTTGTGATCTTCCTGCCGCTGTCTTCCAAAGTGCTAGGACTACAAGCATATGCCATTTATCAAGAAGTGTAAGTCCTCCAACTTTGTTCAAGACTGCTTTAGATAATTTAGGTTCCTTGCATTTCCATATAAATTTTAGAACCAGTCCATTTTGGAAAAAAAAAAAAAGAGCAGCTGGGATTTTGATACGGATTTCATTGAATCTACAGGTCAATTTAGAGAGTATTACCAACTGAACACTACTGTTTGTCTCCCTTCTTTTCTTCTTTTTATGGTGGTACTGGAGACTGAATCCAGGGCTTCACACATGCTACGCAAGTGCTCCCCCTCTGAGCTATATCTCCCACTTTTTTTGGCAGTACTTACTGCTAAAGTAAACTCCCACGTAGGAAATCTTTTTGTATCTCCTGACAAACTGGTATTCTCTGAAGGCAGGGAATTTATTTGGTTTATCTCACACTAATGGGGACCCACATGGCACCTAGAGCATGTCAAGTGTCAATCCATGCTGACTGAGTTGCTAAAGTGTTAAGCAGCAAATAGAGGATGGGTGTGGTGGTGCACACCTATAATCCTATCATTCTGGGAGGCTGAGACAGGAAGATTCAAGCCCAACCTGGACAACTTATCATACTGATTTAATAAGACCCTGTCTCAAAATAAAAGATAAAAAGGGCTGAGAATGTACTGCAGTGTGAAGGCCTTGGCCTCAGTCCTCAGTACTGAAGAAAAAACAAAGCAAATTTTTAAAAATGGTAAACATTGAGTAGCATTCAAGAATTTAGGAAATGCTAATCAAACTAGAATGAAGTTGCCAAAAGGAAGTGTTTCTAGGAACACTCTGAGATATCTATCTCCCAGAGATACACTTCAGCTGCTGTGGTTCCTTACACACACATCCCAACACACACCAGTCCATCTTCTCTACTGGTTCTCACAGAGGATCAAGAGCTGTGAGTCAGAAGGATCTCACAGAATGCTATCAGTATAAACTGAAGTTTGGGGGCTAGAGATGTAGTTCAGTGGCCGAGGACTTGCCTAGCATGTGCAAGGCTCTGGGTTTGACCCCAGGATGGCATTTAACAAAAGTAGAATTTGACTATCAACTATGGATTAGATAATAGTATTGTACCCAGTGTTAAACTTCCTGATTTTGATCACTGCACTGTGGTTATGTAAAATAAAGACCTTAGGAAACACCCATAAAGTATTTTAAAAAGGGCACATCTAAAAATCACCTGAATACTCTGGTTTCTCTTCAGATCGCATAAATCTTTTGCCTTTTTAAAAATCCCCTGAAAATTATTTTCAAATGGTTCAGGAAAAAAAAAAAATATGGGGTAAGAATAGGAAAGAGAAAGAAAAAATAAATGAGGCAAAATTGTGAAAATTGGTGAATTTGGGTAGTAACTCTGAACTGTTCTTGCAACATTTTCTAAGTGTGAAATTATACCAAAATAAGAAGCTGGGTGTGGTGGCATTTGCCTGTAATCCCAGCACTCAGGAGCTGTGGCAGGAGGATCACTCTGAGTTTGAGGCCAGCCTGGGCTACTTAGTGAGTTCAAGGCCAGCCTGCACTACAAAGTAAGGCCCTGCCTCAAAAAGCATATACATACATAGAGTGAAACAAAAAAAAAAAATCAAGTTGTGTCAGGTGTGGTAGCACACATCTGCAGTCTCAGCACTCAGAAGGGTGAAGTCGGAAAATTGGGAGCTTGAGACCAGCCTAGGCCACACAATGAGTTCAAGGCCAGCCTGAACTGCGTAATGAGATGCTACCTCCAACAAAACAAAACAAAAATCAAATTGTATATTGCCACTTATATATTTATATACAAATTTATAAAAGAATGCTATATAACACTTATGGATGCATGCCTAAAAGGGGAAGTCCAGCACTACATGAGCTACTTTCCTAGTCACAACATCAGCACAAGCAGATATAAAGAGGGGCCCCCAAACTCCAGCCGTGCCACATTATCAGTCCTCAAGTTATCCAGACCATTCTCATCATGTTCTTTCCCATGTTTACATCAGTTACCTCAGAAGCCCAGGATCATCCCCATGTGGCTCAGGACATGGCCTTCCCTTGCCAGCCTTCCATTCTTTTTTTTGAGACAGGTGTCACTACATCTTTGAACTCACTTGAGCTCAGGGTGACCCTCCTGCCTCAGCCCCCCAAGTGCTGGGATTACAAGTATGCATCACCAGACCTGGCTCTTCTATCTCAATACAACAAGTCTTTACCCTATTAGAGTAAGATTCATTGGAAATATCTTTTTATTCTCTCTTATTCTCACACCTCACATCTGATCCACCCAAGAAATCCTATTGGTTGCATCACCAAAACATCTCTGAAGCAGACACTTTCCATCAGCTCCCCTGTCACCTGCCTACATCACTGCTGTAGTCTCCTATCAGGCCTTTTCACTTCTACCTTTGCACTCTTTCAGTCTATCATTCTAGACGACAGGGTGACTTGTTTAATTCAGGTTATCACCTCAGCAGTAGGACTGTGTGAGATTTAGACAGAAGAGAGATGCAGGATGCAGTCAAAGACTGCACCCTGCTGGATAAAGTGATACACCCTATAATCCCAACTATTCCCAGCTGTAATCCCAGTTTAGGTAATTTAGTGAGAGCCTGTCTCAATTTTTTTTCTTTTCTTTTCTTTTTTTTTTTTTTTTGAGACAGGGTCTCACTATGTAGTTCAGCCAGGCCTTGAACTCACTATGTAGCCCAAGCTGGCCTCAAACTCACAGTGATCCACCTTCCTCAGCCTCCTGAGTGCTGGGATTACAAGCATGCACCACCACGGCTAGCCTTCAATTGTTTTTAAAGGGTGAGGCAGGTGGGGGCTGTATCTTAGTGACAGAGTGGTTGCTTTACAAGGGTAAGACTCTAGATTTGATGCCCAGTACTACAAACAAAACAAAAAACCAAATATACCATGGGGCCCTATAACACTTAAAAGTCAGAAGGCAAGAAGCAATCACCAAAGGACACTGAAACAGATCAGAGAGGCAAGAGGAAAACCTGACATACATGGTGTTCTAGATGCCAAGTAAAGACAGTGTTTCAAAGAGATATTGTTGATAGCTCAAGTAAAATAATGACTAAATATTGGGTACTAGCTGTAGTCATGTGTTGGTTATTGTTCACTTTGATGAGCACATTTTTCCAAGATGTAATAGGAGTAAAAGTCTAATTGGAGTAGATTCAAAAGAAGAATGCAAAATCAGGAAACATATAAAACAAGCCTGAAGGATCTTGTCACCCTAGAAAACCCAAAACTCAATCGAAAGTATGGTTGTGCCAAAAGATATAGGTACCTCCCTGAGTAGGATACCTCTGTCCAAATATGGAACAACTTAAGCCTCAAAATGATATAATTAGATGTACGTACATCAAATATTTTAAATTCTTGGTTCAGAATTATACTAAGCAACCAACTTGTTTTTTAAAAGAAACTGGTAATTAAGGGAATGAATCTCGAATGGGAATATAGCTTAGTAGTAGGCACAGCGTATGTTTTTATCATGTGTGAGGCCCTGGGTTCTCTCCCTGGTGCTAAAAATAAAATAAACAGAACCAAAAATTTAACCTATATAATCTATCCTATGCAATAACTGAATTGTTGATGAAAGGAAGTTTTGCTTTGTTTTGTTGCGTTTGGGTTTTTGTTTTTGAGACAGGGTCTCTATGTAGTTTAGGCTGGCCTTGAATTCACTATGTAACCCATGCTGGCCTCAAACTCATGGCCATCTTCCTGCCTCAGCCACCCAAGTGCTGAGATTACAGGTGTGCACCACCACACCCAGCTGTTGTGTTGGTTTTTTGTGTGTTTCTGTGTGTGCATATAGTTCTAGGGATCAAACCCAGGGGTGCTCTACCACTGTGCTACATCCCCAGGTCTTTTTATTCCTTATTTTGAGAAAAGTTCTTGCTTAGTTCCCCATGTTGGCCTTGAACCATCCCCCTGCCTCAACCTCCTAAGTAACAGGGTTTACAGGTATGGACAGCTGTGTCCAATGGAAGCTTCTTTTTATACAAGTATTCCAGTTAATTAATAAAAAGAAAATGATAGAATTACCATATTATTTCTTGACAATCCCTAATGAAGTAGGGGATCTAGCAATAATCACCAATGGCTCTTAAGACATAAATAGAGGCAAAGGGACATTATATACCCTGGTGTGTCTTATTGAAAGCTATGCTTTTACTCCTACTTCTGTTCAAATTAAACTGGGTCTGTTTGCATCATATTTGCCCCAAAATTTGATTCAAAAGAGGCAAAAGTAAAAGTAATAACTGAGCCTAGACTAGCCTAGGTTGAGATTGAAAGATACACAGTCAAGGAGTAGAAGCAATCTATGAAAAAAGGGAGAGATTCAGTGATGAATCAGATACTGACCTTGATCCACAGGAGTTTATAAAGAAGCTAGAGAGAGAAAACTTGTACACACAACCACAACCACCACTAAAATGACCCAAAATTAGCCTTAGTAACAATGTTTAACAATTCACTTTGCTTGAGAAACTGTTAGCAGAAGAAGATCTAATATTTTACAGCTCTCACCTCCTGCACAAACCAGAGGCGGTGACAAGGCAAGAGCTTAGGAGACAATAAAGTATGAAGTGGAGCCTTAATGTGCACCCCCATCCCAATAAATTAACTGTGGGGCCTAGAGAAAGCTACTTTCACTTCGTCTCCATTTTTTCATTTATAAAGTAGAAATTATCATCTCTACCTCCAAGGCTCTGTAGGTATCAACACCCTCCTCCTCTCCACTCTCCTAACTTCTGTCTCTACACCACTCCCCTGTCTACACATATATCATTATGGTCTTTCAATACATTGATGTAATGAGGTATGGAAGGAGGAGAGCCCCAGGCATTCTCGTCCCTACCTCATCCAGTGCACTGTCCTTGTCCTGGCAGATTGCAAGCAGATAGATGGAGGCTCTAAAGACCATTGGTGGGGGGCGCTCACCCTGGTCCTGAAGAGACAGGAGGAAGCGTTGCACAGCCACAAATAACTCTGACTCCAAGACAAACCTGTTGACCAAGAAGAGCCCGAGTGAGAGAAATAGAGCTGGCAGGCCAGTGGACTCTCCTGTCCTTCTGGCAATACACTCCTTTAGCCCACTGTCCTGCCCCAGCAAGCCCATCAATATCATGAATAAACAGCATGCTGTACATACTTTCAAAACATTGCCATACTTATAGATCACATGGTTCTATGTCTTGTGTAAGGCTGTGTTAGGGGCCTAAGGATTCTCACTCACACGTAGGAGGTGAGCTCTTCCCACTAGACCAGCACTGTCAAAGAGAAGCATGCTACTTTTGGGGCTAGGGAGGCCCTACTTAGGCAGCCTGTCTACCTCTCTCTTTTCATATTTGTGATGTATTCAGTGGGATACTTCTGTGGTGGGAGATGCGAGTGTATTATTATATATGCAAGGCAGATAAAGAGGGCTGACTTTTTTTTTTTTTGCCTAGGCTGGTCTCAAACTCTTTGTCACTTTAACTTAAATGGTAAGGAGTTTTACTTTGGAGTAGTAGAAATACTTTGGAACTAGCTGAAAGTTGTGGTTACACAACACTGTGAGTGTGCCATATGTCACTGAATTATTCCCTTTTAAGTAGTTAATTTTATGTTGTATAAATTTCACCTGGACAAATTATCGTCTTAAAAGCTTAAGAAAGATTAGTCTCTTGATTTTCAATGTTTAATAAATTTTACAGTAATTCTTAAATCACAAATAAACCATCAAAGTTGTTTTCTGTGCACAGATAAGACTCTCAAGGATAATAAGGAATATGCACTAGCACTCTAGGACTCTGTCTGTCAGCAATGTGTCTACTAACCAGTCTAATCCCTTTTCAAGACATACACCTGTCAGGAACACAGCCATTCACACTGTCCCTGTATTCCAATGTGCAGGCCCAGGTTTAGAGAGGATGTCTCAGTAAATATTCACTGAACTAAGACTTGGAGGCTAAAGCACATGGCGTATGAGTTTGATACAAACAAAAATATCCATTGACGTGAACTTGACACAGATGAGTATCCCAGGACTTACCCACCAGCCACCAGCTCTGGGCACTGAGCTGTCTTTTTGCTTTTCCCTTCCTTCTTTTTTTGCTTACGCACTGACCTGTCCTCATGAATGTAGGCCAGGTAGAAGAGGAGCAGGATGCAGTACTGTCTCTGGCGAGCAGCTCCCTCCACATACTGGCAATCAGACAGGAAGGCAAGGCTTTCGGGTCCCCTGCTGCTTATCTGGGGCAGTCCCTGCTGCAGGAGCTCAGATACTGCAGAGAGTTCTAGGAGGAAACAGGCAGCAGAAGGCCACACGGAGAACACAGGAAAGCAGGCAATGAGCAACTGAGAACTACTGTGTGCACAGTATTATGCAGGGCACAAGGGCGCATGTAATATAGAGGAAATCAATTTCCTTTTCCTTGATGCACAGTTCAGCTTACCAGGAGAGATGAAAGTTAACATGTGAAAGGACATGGATACATCTCAAAAACATTCATTCACTCATTTGACACATGTTCGCTGAGTGCCCACTTCAGGCCAGGCTGTGAAACCCAAGTCCCACCTCCAAAAGCTGGTGGGAAGAGACAGATAATGAGATGAACCATCACAGCACATGTGCGCTCTGCCGTGCTCCAGGGTGGAGGAGGGCAGTGGCTTGGGCTGCCTGGGATGGGGAGGGCAAGCTCCAAGAGGATGGCACTGTGCAGGGTGAACAGAAAATAGGCAAAGAAGGGAGGGGAGTGAATCCAAGAGACAGGTAGCAAGGTGTTAGGCGGCTTGGAGCCATGAGAGGACACATTATGTCTCCATTCAGGGTGACTGGACAGCCAGTGAAGAGATGTCGAGTGTCAGGAGCTGCAGAACTGTGTGATATAATTTGTAGTAAGACTATGGAAGACCTCAGATGCTGCCTAGAAAATATAGCTTTTCGCCTGCCTGGCAAGCGCAAGGTCGTGAGTTCGGTTCCCGGTACCGGAGAAAAACAAACAAACAAAAAAACAAACAAACAAAAAAAAGAAAATATAGCTTTTATCCTGATGGCAAAGGCTCCTAGATTTCTCATAAAACCTCTGCTTTATAAAAGAAGAGGTATTGTTTGTTTATTTCCCCAAATCAGATTTTATTGGTACATTTTAGATATACATAATGACCACATTCATCATAGAGAATTTGTACATGATACAACTTGATTAGTTGGCCTGCTAATACTGTACATGATACAACTTGATTAGCTTTTTCCCCACTCCCCTACCCTCCCTTCAACCCCTCTTTCCCTCCCCATTTACAAAAGCTTTGTTTCCATTTTTTTCACTTTTTTATTTTTCCCTTCTTTCCTTTCCTCCTTCCCCCTCTTTTATTCTCCTCCCCACTTGAACATTTTCTATTTCACAATACCTATTATACGTTCTGGTCCTTATTTACACTTTCAGTTTCTCACACCAGATAAACAATGTGGTATTTATACATGTGCGTCTAATTTATTTCACTTAAGAGTATGGTCTCAAGGTGCATCCATTTACCTAGAAATGTCTCAGGCTTATCCTTCTTTATGACAGAGTAGTATTCCACTGCATAAAAAACCGTATCAAGAAGGGATATTTTAATATCAAATAAAAAAGTACGTTAAAACTTAAAATTTGAAGGCCAGACAGGATGGCGCACATCTGTAATCCCAACACTCGGGAGGCTGAGGCAGGAGGATTGCTTTGAGTTTGAGGCCTGCTTGGGCTACAAAATGAGTTCAAGGCCAGCCTGAACTACATAGTGAAATCCCTCTCAAAAAGACAAAAAAAAAATCCACAATTTGAATAAGGTCAGCTTTATGGAAAATTCACTTTACCCTTATTTTCCACATATTCACCATGAATCAGAGAAAACTCCCCTCACTGATACTGCTCCACAGACAGATGTGTGGACTATGGTAGAAGGCCAGGGGAGTTAAGATACTTGCTATGGTTTGTGTCTAGATGTACCCCCAAACCCTCATACAGTTTTTTTGTTTGTTTGAATTTTTGAGACAGGGTCTTGCTCTGTAGCATAGTATGTCCGACATACTATGCTGCCAATCAATAAGGCATCCACTGTACAGATTGCCACAAACCTCAAGGGTGATCAAATCACAGCATCTCACCTTCTGAGGAAGGCAGTCCTGTCTTCTCTGGAGCTGAGAGGAGATTGAGGCACATGTAGTAGAGGAAACTGGAACATGCCTGGTTTAGGGCTGAGTGACTTGGAGAAAAGACAGAACAAAAGAGACAGCTTTGCTACTTTAGGTGAGACATGGCGTTATCTTTATCATGTGTCTGGATACCATTGCTTTATACTAGAGCCCAGGAAAATTCTAACCATGGCCATGGAAGAGGAGCCTCTACAGTGGCTATGAAAAGTAAATATGGAATCTCTTTCCCACAGCTATAACATAGGTACTCTGCCTATAATACAGGCAGTGACTAAAAATGTATTCAAAAAAATCAAGGAGAGCTACTCAGGTCCAATTTAACAAAACAAACAAAAAAGCACCTTGGACTATGAAAGGGCTGGGAATTACTAGCAAAACAGGAAGCGATTGAACCTGAGGTAAACACTGAGGAGTTCTGCAAGCTTGCAAATGTTTTTACTTTGAATCCATATAGATTTCTGAATTCTCTGCTAAAGGCTGAGTGTTCTACTCAGAGCTATGAAGGAGAGCTAGGAGATACGACACTTTAGTCACCATGTGGGCTGTGGACAGTAACAAATGAATGTTCTGAGTAGAGACAGGTGGCAAACCATGAATGGGTGGGTACAGACGGCTGCTCCAGAAAACTGACAAGAATCTGAGGCAGCAACCTTTCCACTCTGATCAAGAGTTTTTCCTCTGGAATTGCTGGGCTGGTAGTAACTGGAACTTGATAGACACTGAATCCCTGCCATTCTAAGGATGTCGTTTTCCCCCACTTAAATGGGAGGTTAGACAAATGATGTCTGAGAGTCATTCCAGTTTTGACGTGACAGATACCCATCACATATCACGTGGAACGAGAGCCTTAGCAGACCAGATGAGATATAGCCTATAGAAGTACCTGCAGCTTGTACACCAGGTGCTGACTAATGCTGACATCACCAACCCCACGAGATCCCAGCACTAAAACACCAGCCAGAAATTCCCACTCTTCCAGTCAATAAAAACCCTTGTCCCTTAACTGGGACCATACATACCTTGGGCCACTGCAGAATCTGGCCTTGAGCTCCAGCGTTAGTCGTATGAAGGATGAAGCAGCTTAGAAATGGGAAGAAAGAAGAGTTGTTTAAACCAGACTTGGTTTAAACAGACCAGATGAAATATAGCCTACAGAAATACCTTGTTACAGACTTGTTACAGAGATTCCCAAGTCAGAGATGCTAAACATCACGTGAGGTGTCAAGCATAGAGTCTGAGAGCATGTTGTGGGCACTAAACTGCAGTCCTGGCCTTCTGGACAGACCCCCCTCTTAATGGCTTTTGATTGCTGCATGTTTCCTTCCACTCAGCACTCGGCAGAGATTCTGACCAGTACATAAGCATCAAGTGGCTCCTGTTCTGTTTGATCATTCTGAGCAGCTAAGTGCAGTACCTGCCTCCCTCCCACCTTCCACACTGGCCTGCTGCCTACCGAGCTTCTTGGAGAACTTCTCCTTCATGTGGGGAACAATGACAAAGAGGCTATGCAGAATAGAGAGGAAAATTTCCATCAAGCCTGGGTGGGTGGCCTGCTCCAAGTACCTCTGAAAGAACCAAAAAGGAGAATACAACCTACCACGACTGAGCTTTTGAAGAGGAAAATCCAGCTGCAAAAAGTGACATCAAATTTAGCAACAGTATACCAATCTTTTCATTTGAAGGGTACAAGAAAAGCTAGGGAGTCTCAAGTCACAAACCTACATGCAAGGCTTGCATCTACCATTAGGATTATATCAGGTGCTTTGCCTTCCCATGCCTCTATTCAAATAGTAAAATAAGAATACCATGATCTACTTTCCAGGAACAAATGAAGTCTGATGGTAAAAAATGCTTTCTAAACTATAATCTAAGATACTTGTGTTTCTATTATAATTAATAATATTACAATAATGATACACTTTACAAACAACCCTCACATTTATTATCCCTGTGGTCCTTAGATAGTCATGAGGCAACCAGATACAGCAGTCATGGGTTAAGAATAAAGAAAAGCAGGTTCTAATTTGCTCCTCTACAGAGCCACACTGATATCCTTTGCTGGCCACCTCCTTCCCTCTCTGGGCCTCAGAGCCATTGTTCTTGTACTGATCATTCCTCTGCTTTTAAACCAACTTTTTATAAAATTATCACTATAAAAGTAATACATTCTCATTAAAAATGTATAAAATATAGAAAAGTAGAAAGCAGGAATAATATAGTATTTCTATGATCTACTTCTAGGACTAACTCTAATACTCTACAAATCTATAAGGAGGCGGAGCAAATGAGGCAACAAATGTGAGTCACTAATGTGAGTCACTATTAGGGTCAGGGCAGCAGCAGATCCTGGTGTGACATTCAAGGAAAAGAGGCTCTCTCCTGCAGTTAGGGTTCTTCCTACTGTTGCCTACCATTCCCAGCAGGTGTCTAGGAGGTGGTTTCCCCAACTGACTTTTTTTTTTTTTTTTTTTGTCTTTTTGAGACAGGGTCTTGCTATGCAGTTCAGGCTGGCCTGGAGCTCACTTTGTAGCCCAGGCTGGTCTCAAACTTGCAAGATTCTCCTGTCTCAGCCACCTGAGTGCTGGGATTACAGGCATGCACCACCATGACTGGTAACAGACTCTTCACAGGCTCATAGGGTGCCCAACCTCAAGCAGGAAAGAACTCCAGGTGATCCTGGAGTCAACAACTGTGGGTACTATACTTCCTACTGTCTCAACCTTAAGTCAGCTCCAAATGAACCTTTGCAGAACCAGGTCTCTCTTCAGAGTGGTCATCTCATTTCACAGAACACTCATACACATTCCTCACTGACGCTTAGGCACAAACATTCACTCCTGCTCATAACTCACCAGAAAGACACAAAAACAGCTTGGGACCAGAAGCTGCAGATTTAATCTCAGCACTATCATGAACTTGCTTTGTAATGGTAAGACCAGATAACTTCATCTAAAAATTAAGGAAGAGGCTAGGGATATAGCTCAGTGGTAGAGTGCTTGCCTATCATCTGAAAGGTCCTGAGTTTGATCCCCAGCACCAAAATAAAAGAAAGAAAAGAAAAAGTAGGGGAACTTCCAGCACATATTTCTCAGGGCCATATACAAGATAAAAATTAGGCAATGAATAGAAGGCATTTATATATCACAAAAATTACCTATATATTATTTTATTGTGATTACTTTCTACTTTTCTTCAGAGGCATCTATTAGTTTTATAATGAAACACTACACTTTATTTTTAAAACCAAAGGAAATGTGGCTGAGAAAATAACATGGGTCAGGCCCCAAGGGCCAGTTGAGTAGTTGTGGCCTTGTGCCTGTAGCCTGCTAGCCTGCTGCACACACATTCTTCTCTACCCCAAGCTTCATGTTGCCCACAGATCAGGAGAACTTACCATCACCATGGGGATACACAGGGAGTCACAGGCACTAAGAAGAAATTCTGAGAAGGCCTCTAATGTGTCTTCCTTCTCGGCGCTGGGAGCTGTGAAGGGATTCTCCTGGGCCAAAGGCTCACCCTGGAATTCCACAGCCAACCTGAGAAATGAGTATGTAAGTATGTCCACCACCGCTCACACAAGGGTAGGAAGCACCAGCCTAGTGGATGTCTGAGTCAGAATCCAAAGGAAGTACCCTACCATCAGATCTGGAGAAGACTTAAGGCATCAGTGAGATCCAGTCCTTGACTACCCCTCCAGCCTCAGGCTCCCCCATCATACGTGACTCTTCCCACCACCGTGTGTCCTGTTTCACCTTTCTCTGTCTTCTCCTATGCTTTCTCTCCCCGGATTCTTGACAACTCAATGAATTCCATGTATATACTCAAAACTGTTTGTTCCACCTCTGGCTAGCATCAGGCCTGGCAGACAGGAGATATAACAAACATCTGTAAACATGGGCTGTGCTCAGTGACTAGCTATGTGCTAGGTAACTTCAGGGATGAACAGAGGTAAATGAGCACAACCTCATGGCACAGTAGCAAAAACTCTACCAGGATGGAATCTTTAGGCAGCAACGTGTCCACAAACCTCCCTCACACATCCCCAACCTCAAAGCCAAAGTCCTCCCAGTATTCATCAGAGCACCAGGAATCAGGTATCACTCTTGGAGTATTATCCTTGTCTGAATCTCTCCAATGCCTCCCCTCCCTATTCCCTCAGACCGCAGAGGGTTCCTCACCTGCAGGCATTTCTAAACCCTTCCAGAGTGCTCAGCAGGAACTTTCCCATTCGAAGGATCGCCTTCTCTGACTCTTTACTGTAGGGATGGCCCTGAGGTTAGAAAGAGAGAGGAACCTATGAGCCCAGTACCTGCTATGCGTCCCTGTCTATGCTTGGAAGGACTACAGACCTCCAACAATTAAACTGTGGTCTGCCAGTCACAAACATTTAAGTTTCCAAGGGAATCTTGGTGATACCCTTACAAACCTAACAGAGTAGCTTTTTTAAAGTAGTAGAAAGTGAAATCTTAACCTCCTGTTTCCCTGAGAACCACAGGACTAGCTCTTGGTCTATTGTATGCAGAAGGCTATCACAGGCTAGGAGACATTAGCCTAACTGGCTGTAATGTCCATATTGTTGCTCTAAAACACAAGAAAACCCTCATCGTTTCAGGTATAAAGATTTTAATCTCAAAAAATATAATCAACATTTATAGTGACAATACCTTTCCCGATTATTTTAAATCTACACAGCATTAAAAGCCAATGATTTTTATCAGTGTGTACAACACAGGGCACATTTGTCAAGTTCTTTGTAAATTTCTATCAAATCCAGCCTGGATTTTGTGAGCATTTTTCCTATACCTACTTAGATAACATAAAGGAACAAAGTGTAGTGCAGAATAGGTTTGGGTACAAACACCCTAGGATCTACTAATCAGGCTCAAGAACTTGCTCATTTTGGACTTAGAGAGAACGTATTTAAACACTGTTGCTTCAGTTTCCTCAGCACATGAAGATAATAACCCTTAAGCCTCACAGTAATGCAGTTAGGAAAAAAATAACATCTCATTGTAGGTGTTTGTGCATGAGAAAAAACTATGAAATGGCATCTGATAGTAAGGGAAAGTACTGATTATCTTTCTAAAGACACAACAGAACAAGGAGTTCAGAAAAATCAGGCTGCAGTACACTAACCAGAGCCCTCATGTTCAGCGGAGTCTGGGAAAGCTCTGTACACCGGCTCAGCATGGCTTCCAACAAGGCCCGCAGTGCTGTGTACTGCACAGGTGGAGCACTCTGATGGTCCTTCCTGCACCCGGAGAAACAAGAACAGGCTCAGTGAGAAGTTAAGTGTCCCCAAAACCTCCCCAGGATCTCAGGAAAAGAAGGGCAGTGTGACAGCTCTGAACATAAGGACCAGCAACTAAAGAAAAACGGTTAACCCTCATCCCTAGGCACTTTTGGAATGCTGAATGATTTTCTGAATTTTCTAACAGGCTCTTAGTCAACTATATATAATTTCAGCTTGATTGTTCTTTGTCTTCTTGATTCCTAGAAGCTCAAAGTTAGGCCAGCTGGCCTTGGGCCTTCCTTCTTGCCTTTCTCCCTCCCTCTCTTTGAGATAGGGTCTCCCTGCATTACCCAAGCTGGTTTTGAACTCCTGGGCCCAATCCTCCTGCTTCAGCCTGTAAAATAGCTGGGATTACAAGAACGTACTACCGTGCCCGGCTTGGAAACTCCAAGTTTCTGTCTGTCAGTGATCATCAAGCCTTGGTTCCATCATCTTTAGCTTTTTTTCAGAAGCCCTCATTCTTCCTTTTAGCTGTCCTTACCAGACACCCTCTGACCAGCTCCACCTCAGAGGGGCCACATCAGTAAACATCCTGTTGAGTTAAAGTCAAAAGTAAAATAACCCAAGGATGAATAACTCACCTCTCCCCATCTCTCTGCACAATTCTGATGCAACTAGTTTTAAAACTTCAGGTACCACTCCCCTTCACATACCCTGCTGGCTAAACTGGCCACTGTACCCTCAGTAACCCCTATCCTTGCTAAAGCTACTGTCCTACAAATCCACACCTCCCCCATCCCACCTAACATAGTGCAAATACCAGCACCCGCCTGAAAGATGCTCCTGGCCCTCTCCACATCCCCAGTGCTCTCTTTCTCCATGCTCTCAAGACCCTGTTGGGCCAGGCGTGGTGGCACATGCCTGTAATGCCAGCACTTGGGAGGCTGAGGCAGGAGAATCATTGCAAGTTCGAGACCAGCCTGGGCTACAAAGTGAGCTCAAGGCCAACATGAACTGCATAGTGAGACCCTGTTCCCTGTCTCAAAAAGACCCTGTTGATTTACTCGCCTCACACACCCTGGGATTCATATTCCAGACTTAGATTCAAATCAGCGAAGGACACGGAGAAAGGATGCAAACTGAAGTCACTGCAATGTAACTGCTATTTTTCCTTTTAATTTTTAGAGCCAATCTGGAGTCAAATGACAGAGACCTAAATATGGTTACAGAATATTAACAACTTTTATGTTGTAAAAGTAAAATATAGCTGGTTGCCCTTGAGTAGTAGAAGGGAGAGAGAAGAGGGAAATGGAAGAGCCAGGTGGTGCTAAGAGAATGGGAATCCAGAGTTACTGCTTCAATTCAAGCAAGCAGGAAACATGGCTTTAGGTACATTATTTAAAAGGTTGAAGATATAAAATATTAACTAGCAAAAATCTCAAGGCGATGAAGAAATGACAAAAAATAAAAAATATGAAATCATTAAATTTTTATCTTTCCTACTAACAAGTCAATTAATAATGTCTTGAACTGATAAACAGTATAGCTGGATGTAGTGGCACATGTCGGCAATCCCAGTACTTAGGAGGTTGAAGCAGGAGGATTACAAGCTCAAGTCCATCTTGGGCAATTGAGTGAGACCCAGTCTCAAAAATAAACAAGATCATAGTGGCACACTGTGTCTGGTAAGGACAGCTAAAAGGAAGAATGAGGGCTTCTGAAAAAAAGCTTTAGGTACATTATTATGCTAATAGTCTATTAGGAATATACCCTGACTGTCTAATAGGAATGAGAGATAAAGCAATGAAAAAACCAACAAGATCCCTGACTTGAAGTCTGTATTTTAGTAGAAGGGAAGAGACACAAAACAAACAAGTAAACAAGAACTCTCAGGCACTGGGTAGATGCTGTACCAACCTGGCTTGTCAATTAAAGGAAGACACTCTGAATGAGACTTGAACCATAGGAAAAAGGCAGGCACACAGAGATTTAAGGGAAGAATATTTTAGGCAGAAAAAATCATAAACAGAAAGGCCCTACCAAAGAACTAAGTTTAGTATGTTCAAGAAAGAGAAAAAAGACCAGAGAAATGAATGAGACTTGGTCAAGTACCAATTATAGAGCCAAGGACTCAACTCCCATTCTTTAAACCCCAATTTGAAGGCAGGTGTGGTAATGCCCAACATGTAAATGGCAGTTCCAGAGAAAACAGAGTATAGATATGCCAAAACAATATGTACTAATAATTTTTTTTTAATTTAAAAAAAGAACAGAGTAAATACAGGAGAGAAAAGAAATGCTGCAAGAAAATGTTAAAAAAAAAAAAAAAGGGTGGGGTGGGGTGAGGGATGTCCCTTAGGTACATGTAAGGGAGAAAATCCAGACCTTTTCTGAGGTCTCTCACCTCAGAAAAGCGGAAGTAGCCTTCACTGCCTCAGCGGCCACCTCTAGCACAGGGCTGCTTACTGCCTCCTGGAGGGCACGGGCAGCATCTCCACACATGGCTGAGCTTGTGAATAACCGGATCTCCTCTGGCTGCCTGGGAAATGATAGATGAGAAGCAAGTGGGTGAACTCCTGTCATCAGGAATGAAAGCTCACTTCTCCTTCCCCAGTCTGGCCCTAGCAGGCCTGGTACTCTGTCACTTTACTTACCTGGTCAGGATCTCAGCAAAGAGCAGCAGGCCCTGCTTGTGCAGCTCTGTGCTGGTCATCTTCAGGCTTCCCTGAAGGCTCCTCACCACTGCCTCGATCCCTATCTCAGGATAACACACCACAGACCAGGTACAAGTGATTAAATCCAAGGCCTTCACACAGATCTACATCCCCAGCATTTAATTTTTTTTTTTCTTCAGAGAAGTTCTTGCTAAGTTACCCAGACTAGACTCGATCTTGTAATCTTCCTCCCTCTGCCTCCCAGAGTACCAGGGTTAAAAGTATGTGTCACCATACTCAGCTTCAAGAAACTTTGAAGAGATAAATTAGCAAAATTTAGGGATTAACTAGATATTGATACAGTTATCTGGAGCTGGTAAGACTAAAACCAAGGCTATACAGCAGTGGTTAGAATTGTCCTTTCTGTGCAACAAGAATTCATTAAGCAGCTAATAGGAATGCCCTTTCCTTCCTGAAGCATCTACATATGTGTATTCCTGCTAATCAGTGACAGCAGAGCCATTTGGATATCAGTGCTTGCATATGAAATCTGGTAAGGAGTCTTCTTTTTATCAGTGGCAAATTTTCGCACTTTTTAAGAGTAGGAACAAACAGGCTCTGCTGTGAGTTTGGGCCAAGTAAAAGTAGGAAAAAAGGAAAAAGAAATAAAAAATACTATACCCTCCAGTGTAGGGTAGGCTACCTTAAAGAGACATAATAGCCTGGTAATGAGTGTTAACTAAGGGGAACGTCCAGACCCAGCACTCCCCTCCAAGGTGGAGGCCAGGCCCATCACTGTTGCTGCCACCCAATTTCTAACTTCTCCACCCAACCCAAAGCCAGCACAGGAGCCGCGCTACCAACCATACACTGTGTGGCACTTGGAAAAGAACAGCGGCTCTTCCACTAGGAGTATCAGGCAGTTGTAGCTAGACCAGACGAGCACTTCACTGGAAGAGGAAAGATGCTCAAAGATGAACTCTGGCCGGTGAAAGAGGGAGAAAACAATGACAGCTCTGAGATCATGGTCCTTTATTTGATGTAAAGGCCTTAGGTTTATTCAGCATCTTACTGCTGACACTTTTATTCACACAATTTCTCAGTCAGACAGGTCACTGATTCACAGATAAAGCTGGGAAATCTCCTCAGAGTCTGGTCTAAATTCAGGGAATTAAGTAAAGTTCACATTGTAAACACCAAGAGGCCCATTTAGTTCCCAAAACTTCCAAGCTGATTTCTTCCAAATAGCAGGTTCAAGAGTCCTCTGCTAACTGGGCCCTGAGGGAAGAACTACAGATCTTCACATCAGGGTTCCCCCAAGGAAAAGGCCTCGATAGCTCTTCCTCAGTGAAGCCAACAGCTGACATCTTTTTAGCAGATGAAGAAACTGATGTCCAGAGAGGCAATTTACTGGAAGAAGTAGGTTTGGGACTTAGATTTTCTAATTCTCAGGATGGGCAACAGAATGATGCAGAAAATAAAGTTTTTAGAGTTGAAGAGACCTCATTTTACATTCCATCTCTGCCAATGACTAGCCTTATAGATTTGAACCAGTTTTTTTACCTTGAAAGCTCCATATACCCACACCTCCTATAAAAAAGTTGGTATATAATTATATTAGGCTTGTAGGTAATTAATTGTCTCCATGTAAATAATAATTTTGTGTCTTTTCTCAAAAAAATCAATTTCCTTATTTATAAAATAACAAAGATGAGCTGGAGATATAGATCAGTGGGGTAGACTGCTTAACATGAGCAAGGCCCTAGGTTTTCAGTATACGTGCTCCCGAAGCAAGCACCGCTGGGGTTTGATCCCCAGCACCACAAAAAAAAAAAAAAAAAAAAAAGAGCCAGGCTTGGTAGTGCATGCCTGTAATCCCAGCAGCTGGGAGGCTGAGGCAGGAGGATCATTGGGAATTCAAGGCCAACCTGGACTGCACAGTGACACCCTGTGTCAAGACGACAAAAAAACAAAAACAAAACCCAAAGACGTGGACCTCAACGTGGTAACATTTACAAGTACCTCAGGGTATATTTCCTGGCTAGGGGCTGGGGATTTAGCTCAGTGGCACAGCGCCTGCCTGGCAAGCGTGAGGTCATGAGTTCGATTCCTGGTACTGGGAAAAAAAAAAAAAAAAAAGCAATATATTTCCTGGCTCCTAACAGGCCTTGGGGAAAGTTTCTTTTGCCTTCCTACCCCACAGATCTGCAGATCCACCCCCTACCCCACACTAGGACTTTATTCCCGGAAGGTAAAAAAATGACAAAGATCAGTAAAAAAAATTGCTCAAAGTCATACAAAAAGTCTGCAGCCAGAGGATGTGAACATTACAAAGCTTTTTTCATGTATTGGTCCAACCCCACCCCAACCCCTTCAGTGTGACTTATCAAAGGTTCCCAGATAGGGCTGCTGCTACTGCTGTGACCCCACTTGAATCCTGTCAGGATTCTGCGGTCTTCAGAAAAGAGGGTGAGAGGGCCCCCCCTACCTGGGATGTCAGCATGGATGAAGGCCGAGGCATGCTTCACTGGGGAATGGACCAACACTGAAGTTATACAGTGAGTACTGGCCACCTGCAAGGACTCATCTCTAGAAAGAAGAAACTGAAAACACAGCAGCAGAAAGCGCCCCAGTTACATCACTGACAGGACCAGAGGACCTAGCCTGAGTCTAATTCATCTCTGACCTCTCCTGTACTACTCAGTACCAGGCAAGGACAGCACAGGGGGAACAGTGATGGACTACGGAAAGGAGTATCTGTGAACAGTACAGGTGAGAAATGGAATGAAAGAACATAATGTAAAATCCACCGATGGCACTCAAAAACAACAAAACTGCCCCTTAGTAGTGCTCAGGCCTTCCTTCATGTGCCAAAAGTACTTTCAAGCCCTCATCTGAGTTTGTTATTTTCAACAGTCCTGTGACATTACATGGGAAGGTTCCATTGTGATTTTCAGTTTACTGAATTTATAAAAAAGAGGTTAACATAGCAAGCCTGAGGTTTTTTCCTTAGAAAGGCCTGTGCAAGGTGGGGCCCTGGCTGGGTTTGATGAGAGTGGCATGACTAAACTATTTGTACACAGTAGACTATGTGCTATACCTGCTTCCCTTCTGGGAGTCTAGAACTTGATGTGCTACACAGAGGGTGCCTTTGTGATCAGCCAGGCCCCAATAAAATCCCTGAGCACTGAGACTTTAATGAGCTTCCCTGGTGAGCCACATTTCACATGTGTTTTCACAACACATTGCCGGAGGAATTACATGCAACCTATGTGACCCAAAGGAAGAGGATTCTGGAAACATGTGCCTGATTTCCCGCAGACTCTACCCATGTGCCTTTGCTCTTTGCCAATTCTGCTTTATATTCTTTCACTGTAATGTGCCATCACCACGAACATGACTATACACTGAATCCTGTACGTCCTCACAGAGAATCATCAAACCTGGGAGTGGTCCTGGGAACTCTTCTCAAGGTTAAATTATTTCAAGTCACACAGCTAAAAAAAATGGCAAAGCTACTGCAGAAATCTTGTTCAGCAATATCCATATCTAGGAGTCTTCCCACAACTAAGATGCTTCCCCCATAATTTTTTTTCCTTTAAAATTTTAGATCAGGCTAAGCATGGTGGCACATGCCTGCAATTCCAGCACTCTAGGAGGCTGAAGCAAGATCACATGTGCCAGTCCAGCTTGGGCAACTTAGTGATTCAGTAAGATCTTGTCTCAAAATTAAAGGAGGTGTAGAGGGCAGGGGATATAGTTCAGTGTGAAGGCCCTGGGTTAAACCCCCGATATTAAAAAAAAAAAAAAAAAAAAAAGGAAGGTAGACCAGGTTACTCTTCTATTGAAAACATCTCAATAAATTTTTATTGCACTCTGAATAACATCCAAACTCCTATTGGACACTACAGGCATTAGGAAATCCCATAACACTTTTAGAAATCAAATAAAGAATTAACTGCAACCATTTTTTAAGTATCATAGAAACTGACAGTTTGTGGGTAAATGCCCAGTCTGACAAACATCACCAAAAAGGAAGAGTGTGCTTGGTTTTAGAGCATCAAAGGAAAAAGACCAAGTCACACTCATGTCTGGTAGAGAAGCATCTGACTAAGCAGGGTTAAACTATCTCAGCCATAACAGCTGATAAAGAGCCTTTCTACTTGTGTGCAAAGTTTAGATATTTTTATCTTGTTCTCTTTTCTAAAGGAAATAACATTTTGTATTTTACACTAAGATACTACTGATGTAAAGCAAAGTATTATATTATGTACCAATTAAATTATGATATACCATTGACAGTAAAATACCTCCCAATTTCAGGGCTGGTTTTGTTTTGCTTTGTTTTGTTGATAGGATCTCACTATGTAAATCAGGCTGGCCTTGAACTCACTATGTAACCCAGGCTGGCTTCAAACTCACAATGATCCTCCTGCCTGAGCTTCCCAGTGCTAAGATTACAAGCGTATACCACCATGGCTGGCTTGATAGCATATTATTTTGGTCAGTAAGAAGATACTTTTGGAAACCTGATAAAAAGAATGGTAGATGAGAACAAGGTCCAAGAAGCACCTGAGTTCTCTTGTTATTGAACCTAGAGACCAAGAATCACAAGACAGGAGATGTAGCTCAGTGCAAAGGCCCTGAGTTGAATCCCCTGTACTGAAAAAAAAAAAAAAAAAAAAAAACTGTAAGACAATTACCTTTTTGAGCACCAAAGGCAGTGAGAGCTCTCCTGATGATCCCTTGACACTCTCAGCATTTCCTGCCAGCATGAACTTGTTCATGATCATGGACACAAAGAGATCATACTTCAGCAGGTGCCTCAGCAAACCTATGAAGCAAAGGGATTGGGAGTGAGGCGAAAGGAGCACAGGCAAGAGAGTCCTCCCAAGACAGCCCCTCACCCACCTCCAGAGAAACTCCTTTGGTCACAGTAGATGAAAATTTGGTTGCTATCCTTAAGCAGCAGTTTGCTTTTTGCAAACCAGCTCCCTCCCACAAGGATCTGATGAAAATTTTCTAAGTCCTAGGCCTAAGGATCTAGAGCAGTGGTGGTGAACCTGTGGTACACATGCTGCAGTGGGCTGTTTGTATCACTAAAAGCTCTAAAAGTTTCACCATCACTGATCTGGGAATTTGATAGTGAGCAACCCTCTATCATCCCACTAACTCTAAATTTCATGAGGACAAGGATAAATGTCAGTTTCACATCATTTGTCACCTGCCATAGCTCTTTACACACAATATTTTTTGACTAAAAAAAGAACTATGGACTCCTGCAAGGGGAACAGACATAAAAATAAGTCACACAAAGCTGGTGCAGTGGCACGTGCCTAGCTAGGTAGGAAGCTAGTGGGAAGATCACTTGAGCCCAGGAGTTTCAAGGCCAGCTTGGGAAACATAGCAAGACACCATCTCAAAAGGGAAAAAAAAGTCACGCCAATGATTACTTACAATTTGGTGCATCACACAAATGAGGAACAGGCAGATACATGAGAGTATAGATAGGAGAATCTAACCTAGTGTGGGGATCAGTAAAATGTTTCACCAGCAAGTTCAAACCAAATCTGAAAGTAAGTAGGGGAAAGCATTCCAGGTGGAAGGAACAGCAGTCTAGACACTAAAGAAACCCAGAGTAAGCCGGGCATTGTGGTGCATGCCTGTAACCCCAGCACTCGGGAGGCTGAGGCAGGAGGATCATTGCGAGTTCAAGGCCAGCCTAGGCTATAAAGTGAGCTCAAGGTCAGCCTGAACTGCATAGCGAGACCTTGTCTCAAAAAGACAAAAAAAAAAACAAAAAAGAAAGAAAGAAAGAAACCCAGAGTACTTAAAAAAAGTAGAGAGGTCCAGAAATGATGCTTGAGAAGTAGTTATACTATGAAAGATCATAAGAGCAATGTCAGGGATTCTGGAAGTCCCAGGAAGCCACTAAAGCGTGTGTGTGTGTGTGTGTGTGTGTGTGTGTGTGTGTGTGTGTGTGTTTTGATACAGGGTCTCAATATGTAGTCCACACTAAAGCGTGTGTGTGTGTGTGTGCGTGTGTGTGTGTGTGTGTTTTGATACAGGGTCTCAATATGTAGTTCCAGCTGGCCTTGAACTCACTATGTAGCCCAGGCTGGCCTCAAACTCACA